CATAACTGGGGACACATAGTACTATGTGTCCCCAGTTATTTACAAACACCGGAGTGATCAGACGATCGCTCCGGTGTTTGCTCTGCACAGAGGGATCGTTAAATATCATTGATATTTAACGATCCCCCACTCGGCCACGCTACACAGAGCCGCTGTCATCCAAAAACTGACAGGATGACAGCGGCTCGGATCGGAACACCGCTCGGCCATCCTGAATTGCGGCCAGCCGCCGCTCGTTCCCGGGACCCCCCGCCTGTGATTTTTTTACGGATCCCCGCTGCCACAGACCCTACAAGCAGTGGGGATCCATGGAGTCTCTCATCCCTCCCTGGGATGGCTCCAGGGAGGGATGAGAGACTCCAGATGCCGGGGAGGGGGAGGCGCCCGGTATTTTTGAAAATAGCGGTCATCAGCGGCTTGTGAGCCACTGATGACAGCTATTAATTTAAAGGGGACAGTCTGCTGAACAGTTCTACTATAAGCTTATAGTAGAACTGTAAATGCCAGGTCCGTACGGCATACTGAGCTGGCCAGCTGGAAGCACTTTTGTAGCTCCGTATGCCGTACGTCCTTGGCAGCGAAAGGGTTAAAGCTGGACCCTCAAAAAATGTTCTATTTAGATACTGCACTGGGTATATAAGATCTTCTTGTGAATGAAGCAGGTATGTGACATGACCTCTCCTCCATTCACAGAATGCCTTGTATGTTGTGAAAAGGCCCTCAACACACAGTCTACATGTTATTAGGGCTAGTGCAATATATACAATAAACATTTTTCCAGCTTAAAGACACATACCCAGAAGAAGCATGCTGCCAGTGAACCTCACATGCACCCTTTTGGTTCAATGACTTAGAAGGTATGTTATTCACTAAAGAGTGAGAAGTTAGGTGAAGTGAACATACTAGACCAAAATAGATGATTTGGAGAAATGCTCAGATTCCGCTTTCTTTCCAGTTCAGCTTTGTTGTCCTAGATTGTTCCCTTCTCCAAACTCTTCACCCTATGTGAACAACCCTGTAAATCTTTTAGATCAACATTATAGGCAGTTGAAGTGGAACTCTGGGAAAACATTTCTGATTTGTGCAGCATACAAAGAAGTTGCCTCTAATGATGATTATGTTAGGTCTAGAGTTGTGCCATGTGAGGTACAAATTCTAGTTTCATTCATGCCGGAAAGCACAGCCAGAGCTATACTTCCATAGCTGCAGTTCTCTCATTTACTTGCCCCTCCTCTCCTTTTGGCCATTCATAAATGTCTTCTATTCTGTTCACAAAATACAAGGGGGGGAAATGATAAAATCTGGGGCAGCTGTGCATAGCAATGAATCATCTTCTGTCTAAGTTTCTTCAGTTAAAGAAGAACTCTGGCCGGAATTATACTTAAACCCTTGCAGTGGAGTTACCCCCGCACTGCAATGGTTAAGTGCTCAACTTAGTTGAAGGACGAAAATAAGAAAAAGTTATATTCACCTAGACCTCACACCTGGTGTGCTGTTAGACCAGGCCCTGGAGCGTCTATCCCCTCTGCTGTAACGATGGTATGTCCCTCGGCGGTCTATACACTGTATAGGACGTGATGACTCACAGGACCTTAGGCCTCTGGAGCGGAGGGGGAGAGAGGCTCCCGGGACTTGTGTAACAGCCAGCTGGCTGCAAGGGTTAAAAATAATTCTGTCCAGAGTTCTTCTTTAAATGTACAAACTGAAGATTGAAGCTGATTGGTTACCATGTACAACTGCTTCAGATTTGATAAATCCCCCTCAATGCATTCTGTAAATAGACAAGGGGAGAGTTTGTCTTTAAGCGGGCCCTCCTCTCTCTTTGTCCATTCACTGAATGCCTTGTATTTTGTGAACAGAATACAAGACATTCTGTGAATGGACAAGGGGACTGTAAACTACATGTTCTTGACTGGCTTTTCTACCTAGCATGTTTGCATGTTCTCCCTGTACTTGCATAAGTTTTCTCCCACACTCCAAAAGACTTGCTAATTGGCTTGTGTGCAAAATTGACCCTACTATGATTTTCTGCTGAGCCCACCCAATATGGCTGCCCCACCATCTGCCCCAACACAGATATAGTGCTGGGTCTGCAGGGAAAAAATAGCGCAATATAGATTATTAAGGGTGTGATGGACTTTGCTGATGATCTGCACATGGTGGTGCTTACTACAGGGAAGTGAACATGTGTTTGTTCACATGTACCTTAATTTGCAAATGTCTTTGCTTTGTGCATGAAATGAAATGAACAATTTCTGTTTGCCTTAGTAAATCCCTCTTGAATGAAAAAGAAAGAAAGACGTTAGGGCCCATTCTTACCATTGCGTTGTGTTGTCACACATACTTCAATGTGTTTTTGTGTTGTGTTAAGGCAACCTATTTGTTGTATGTGTGGCTCCTCGATTGGACAGACTGACTCCTGAATTCCACATTAACGTATCCACTCTGGTGGGAATGGACCCTTAAGGTGCCCATACACACGTTTGCAGTGATCGGAAGCCCGCCCCTCACTGCGGTCATCGGAAGCCCGCCCCTAAGCGGGGCAGGCTTTCGATGATCGCAAGTACGATCTGCCTGTCCAAGATGGGCAGATCGTACAAGCTTTTAATAAGCTTACGACCATCGCAAGACAAAAGTCTTGCGATGGTCGTAAGGTGTATGGGCACCTTTAGGCTAACCAAAATCTGCTGTTTTTCTTATACAGTTTCCTGTAGAAGAACTTTCTTTTGGTCACTTATCTTTGCAGTTCTGCATTCCACAGCACTATACAACAGCTTGGAATCATTCAAATCTTTTCCTTCTCCCAAACGAGTTTACAGTTCAATATCCCTACAGTGGTCATGCAGGCACAGGCGTGTTCCATCCAGTTAACCTCCCAACATATATTGTGGGGGGAAACTCAGTGTGAGCTTGAGAACAACATGCAAGCCCTTTGCAGAGAGTTACACAGGTGGGAATAAATTCTAGGACGCCACACAAAAGCACAAACCACTTAGCCACCATGTAACTAATATACAAATTAGATTAGTCCCCTCAAATTATTTGTTGTCTTTATATATCCTGGTTTTTGTCAGATGAGGATTCTGTTTGAATCAGTGGAAATGTGTCACAATCCAGTTTCCCTTGCACATCTAGGCAACTAGTACTGTACAGTTAAGTATAACATCTAATATTATTTCTTATTGTCTTTGCTTCCTGACTCAGATCTCTCCAGTCACTGGGATGTCGGCAATGAAAATGCGATGAAATGAAAGTTGGGTTATATATAAGAGCAGCGGTGTTGCATCTTGGGAACTGGTCACAACTGAAAACTGTTCAAAAGAAACTTTGTCTGGCATCTTTTACAAACCTCTACACGCAATACTTAGGGATTCGACCCTACAGGAGTCAGCTCCCCTATCAAGTTTGTATCAGAATAAACAAACATTGACTAAGCAAGTAGTGAGCCATAGTGTCTCAGTGAGATATCTCTTAATTTGCACATGTATTAAATAGCAGGCACTAGCTTCTATTAGAGCCCCTCTAGGAGAGCATAAAACTGGAGCATTCCCATATTCAAACAAAGCCTAGCTCCTGGGTTCGCCAGCTCTGGCCCCCATCTCTTGCACCTTATTAGTGGCCCATGACTTATTGCTTCACTGCATTGTGCTCTATAGGAAGATATAATTGCTGTATTCTGTATTTTGGTTATTTAGGCTCTTTTAGATTCAGAGAGAAAACAATGGCAGATGTCATCTATGAAATACAAAGATTTAGCTGCGATTTTCAAGAAGCGACTCGACAATATTCACCTCACTAGTCTCGTGAGAGCAGAGCAGGAGATGGTGAGTAAAACTGAAAATGACTTATGTTCTGATGTGTCTGGGTTTTTTTCCAAAATGATTTGCTGTTGTAGCTGTTTTTCAAAGAATGACACCATCACTTGGCCTTTGTATGTAGATCATGTTTATTTGGAGGTTTCACATCACTGACCTCTGTAGCTGCTGTCACTGTGGAGCAATTCATCCCTGACGTTGACAGCAGAATTACTGAAATCTAATCTAGTCATTCTCTGAGCAGCTTGGTTCCCCTTGCTCACCTTCCCAGCAGTAACTCAGGAGCCTTCCAGCCTTCTAATCTCTGAAGTAAAAACAGAGCAGCGCTATGGGACTGGGAGCTTTGTAAGCTGAGCTGCTGTGAGAAAGGCTTTCTGTGCTTCTCTAGTGAGTTTTGAGGATTGATTGCTCCTCAGTACCTGAAGCTACAGAGGTCAGTGAGGGCTAGTTTTAACATCCATTTAATGCTGGTTAAGAATATGTTGAATGTCCATAGCCTGGTCACAGGTTTACAAACTTTACGTTAAACTATAACTCCACTTTCATTGAAGAAGAAAAATCTGGTTAGTTACATACATTTCAAGAAATCTAACAAAAGTTAAAAAATATGTTTTTGCCAGTTTCAGAGTCATACCCGATTGCGCATCAAAGTGTAAAGCTGATGTTATATGGATGATTCTGCTACTAGCAAAACATCACCAGCGGCAAAGTCACACAGGAGAGGTTTCACTTAGTTCTGTGGAATTGCTCCCTCACTGGTCCTAAACGCTATCTAGTCTTGCTAGTGACAGGTCAGTGAGGGAGTGACATCTGTCTGGCCCTAAGGCCCCATTCACTACAGGGCGGTTGCGGATCAGAAGGGAGGTTTCGGGCGTTTTTAATTGCGTATCAGCTCTGAAATGCAATAAAAAATGCCCAAACCCAGCTGTATGTAAACCGCACTGATCAGCGTGGCAAAAAAGGGTCAGGGAGCAATTCACGGTTCCCATAGCAATGTATGGGATCGTTCATGTCGGCCAAACTGCCCTGGTGTGAACGAGACCTAAAAGTGAGGGAGTGATTACAAAGACTGGCAGGTATGATCGCCCATGTGATATCAGCCCAAAGATGAATTTTTAATAACATTTCTTTGCAAAATGGCTAGTATAGCTATCATAAATGTTGTGCTACAAACGTGCAGTAACCTTTAAACAGGCTCTTGAACAAAGCAAAACACTGATTAGGTTCTGAAAGAAGCAGCCATTTCACAACTCATGTGGTGTATCAGTTCTAGGGCACTGACTGAAATAGGTTGAGGTTCACTTGCAAAAGAACCTAATGAAACAGATGTTATGCTTCTTGATAGACTTTACGAATTAGAAATACTTGTCTATAAACATAAAATACTCCAAAAAAGTTAGGCCTTAGCTGTATTTTATCTTTGAGGTCCTGGCAAAAACGTCTGTTGGTTTTACGATTTTTGTTTTGGTAAGGCGTACATTTTATCACGTTACCTCTATGTTTTTCAGTGTCATTCATTTTAAATGGAATCACAATTGACCTGATATTAAGGGCACCCCAATGCACAGATCTGAACCATCTGTGTGTATTGGGAGGGTTTAAATATCCTTTAAACTGATATCAAACTGACGCTATAAACAAAGGCCCTGAGAGAGCAGGAGGGCCATATTGGTCAATTACATCACTGTGTTCCTCAAGTTGGCAAGTCCTGCCTGCCATTTCATACTACTTTGATGATTAATAATATTTTAAAATGTAAAAAGGCTGTCCGTTTGGTACATTTATTTACCTTTTTAGTAGAATTTGGAGAGTCAAATCACAAATTGTCTTCCTATCATTCTCAGGGTTTCCGGCAGTGAGATCTCTACACTTGTGTCGGCCAATATGATGTTTTTTTCTTCTGTTTTATCCCTCTAAAACAGGGGCAGGGAGCTTGCTGCTGGAGAGCTGTAAGAATTTAGTAGGTGATGTAGCCCGCTTTTAACTGGAATATCAGTTTTTGTGCACTTAAAGTGGACTTGACCTCAAAAAGTGAAGATTACCTATGGTATAGGGAACATCTAGAAATGTGAATTGTGACTAAGCTGAATCTTGAAAGACCTTTTGTCTTGAATTCCCCATCATAAAAAGCAGTTCTGTTTGTGAGTGTGCCTAGACACTCCTGTGCTTACAGCCTCATTGCTGTATACCTGCAGTGTGAGATCTAAGACACTGCTGCCTTTAACTGCTAGCCTCAGGGGATTCGAAGTGAGATTTGGTGATGTCACTATTGAGCTGCTCACTGTTCTCCTTGCTGGAGGCTCTGACATAAGGAAGCAAAGCCCTGCCTCTATCAAGATGGCCACCTCCACAGAGGCACAGTGCAGGGCAAGGCGTGGTAAGTCAGTAATGGGTAAAAGATCAGATCTATAGGGAAACCACAGGCAATACTAGTGACTAGTCCTTTACCCCCTGCCTGACTTTTTTTAGTACAACTTTTAGAGTTTAGCTTCTCTCTGTGTGTATGTATGTACTGTGTGTAAATGTCATCATGTTTTCATTCACAGATTACTCGCGGGGATTATGGGTATTTTGAAGAGGACAACTGTGTATATCGCTTTCTTAAAACTGCAGGTAATACAGCTATATTTGTACTGTATGTAACAATGTATACTCAAAAGAATGTTATGTTACTCTTATGTCTTTGTCCACCACCCTTTAACCAGTTGACATCCGCGGTGTTAAACCCCCTTCCCATCCAGGCCATTTTTATTAGGCTTATTTAAGAGGGCAAAGAGGAATAAAGAGCAGTGCTCCATAGAAACCAATCAACAATCGCTTTTTTTGAGAGTAGAATTCTCTTTGATAGTTGTAGATTTTGGTACTTTTCTTAGTAATGTGTGTGTTTTTAAGAACCTTAGACAGCAGTGCTTACACCTACATGGTCCCTTTATCAAAATTCAACTGCAGTTTTGAACAACCCTCTGACTGTAAAATGTTTTTAAGGTGCATATGGCGCTAACAGTTCCTGAGATACGGAATGACTGTTTGGCTCCTCCACCTTCTCTGCATGTCACTGTAGGCAGCTGATTCATACAACATTAAATCCTTAAATGTCACCTACTAGACTGTGCTGTGCATGTATGATCTGCTGCAGTAGTAGGAATCCATGGACCTAGATATGGTGGGATGCTGGAATTCACAGAGCTCCTTTATTTATCTTCCGAGAGAACAGCCATAACTCCAGTAACTGATTGTTCTGGTTTGTCGAAGGATCCCACACTGCACATTGAATTATTGAGCTGATCTACAGTAAATTTGTACACAATTACAAACATAATCTGATAACCCTGAAAACTTCATATTTTGCCTACATCTAGTCTGGGCCCTAACCAGTTCTCGTTGGTCTATTTTTTGCAGGTGAAGGGAGCCTAGAGCTATTGTTTTCTCCTGAAGATGTAGGGCTGCATAGAAGCTTGGTTCAACGCATTCGGGTTTCATCCCAGCAAACCTTTTTGGCAGTTGCCTTGAAAGACTTTGACCACGAAGACTCAAAATGCTATGTTGTAAATCTGGAAAGCACTCCAGAATTGGTACACATTATTTCCAATATTTTCAGTTTTGGTAAGTCAGCTTGTGTGCTTACATCAATTAGCAAAAATATGCACACCCTTGATCACTTCTCTTTCAAATCCTATACTGACAATTTGTTTTTTGAAACTTTTCCTCCTATGGCTCATAATTATTTAACGAGATTACCAGTCATCCTTTTGTACCAGTAGCGCAGAAGTGAGATGGCAAAAGGCATATCAAGTGCTAGCTTACGTAGTAAAGTATATATTTGAAAAAAAAGACCCCAATGTTTGTGATCCCCATGAAGCTCTGCAGGTTTGCTAAAGGTACATTTAGACACCTGTATGTCTCCTCTGTACAGGCATATGTCTTGTGTAGTGGGATTTTGATATTAATCCATATATTTCATATCGATATTGATCAGCATACACTATTATTAATATTATTTTAGTTAGGTTACTGAAAGTTTAAGCCTTGCAGAGCATTTTACATATAATAGATACAATTACTGTGAATCCTCTACTTTTATAATAGCAATGTATTGTAGATAAGTATACTGTTAGTCCTGCTTGTATATAATGTACAATTAATAGTGTCTGGACTTATAGTGGAAACATCATATATACATGTATAATGAGTTGTATGAACAAACAACATGTGGAACATTTAGCTTTGTTGCGCAAGGTAACATTAAGTCATTGTAGATAGAGGTAACTAGAGTTCATGCAGAACCTTTAGGCCTTATAGGTCAAGGTAACAAGGGAAATAAAGAAAGTCATAAACATGTTTTCTGACCTTGGCTTAAGGAACAACAGATTCAGTGCCAAGACAGTTTTCCTCTGTCTTTGATGTGAGGGAGGCTTATCAAGACAAGAAGACCCGTCTAATGTTCTTGACACGAATAAACCTACTTTTCGGAGATCTTCCTCATATCCATACTCTGTTCTGCTTCACATGAGAGAAGAACGTGTGCTGTTATCACGACCACTCTTCTGGATAAACCTAGTTATACAACTATCATCCTAATGCTTTAATCTCAACTCTTTTTAATATCACATTATCACTGTACCAAAACTGCACTTGAAAATATCACAGGTGTCTGTGTCCCATAATTTGCTGCACAAAACTGCAAATAGGCCCTATAGAAAATATAAATTAAATCAAACATTGTGTTCAAACCTTAAAGAAAAAGCTGCAGGTGTATCAGACAATAGACCTACTTTGCTTAGTCTTCTGCAGCATATGTTAATTATATACAGTATACATTTTTGTTTTCTACAGAGTGGGTTAATGACCATGTTCTGTTTCACTCGAGACTGGAGAACCTTCAGTGCCGTTCTGTGTATATGACAGATATACGCAATAGAAGAACTACTAAGCTTGTTTACATGGAACAGGATCCCAGGTAACTCAGGATGCAGTGGCCAATATACGTTTCAGAACTTGTTTTTTTAAAAGATTGAAAGTCCTGTGTAACAATTCATGCTCTGACAATTGTTAGCAAGGAAAATCTGTGCCCCTCTAATCCTTATCTCATTAAGTTACCTAGAACTTCATTTCCCTAACCACCAATGGGGCCTCACCTGCTTACATCCTTCCTGTGCAATGAGAGTTTCTCATTGTCCAGTAAAGGAGTTGTCATTGGATAAAGGGAATAGCAGGGTCTGGCTTTGTTGTGTTGTGAGGTAACACCAAAGTTGGGCAAGCTGAACCGTTATTAACAAATTAAAACCAGGAGCGGAGTCGTGCACAGTAAACCTTTTAAAGTTATCAAATGATTATAGCAGATACCTTGTGCCAGCTCTTATGCTGAATTTTTACATTTAGAAATGTTGAATTAGCCAACAGGTTCACTTTACACTTTGAATGTATGCCGTTTTTAGGATAAACAAATAAAATGAGGCCAATATAGAATATTTTGAATTACATCTAAAGACTCCTGTGTGACAGTCCAAACAGATCCCGAATCCCTTCACTATGTTATACACACATCTCATACAATAACATTTAAAAAAGTGTTCTTTATTCCTTTACATCCCCCTCCCAGACAGCTCTGCGTGGGAGGGTTTAAACAACCGAGATAGTGCTGTCAATCCAGAAAGAGGTGGGCAGGTCTAGGGGTGGCCAGGTGCTGATTGAAAACCTACAGGCTTATGTATCTGCAGTGACAATGCTGATAGCCACCCTCATCCTCCTTGCAATGTCTTCTCATCCCACTGTAGTGGAAGCAGGCTAAGCCTACATGAGGGTGACAGTGCTGCTCTCGATTCAGAAGCAGTTCAGCATTATTGTCATCTCATCATTAGGTGGACTTCACTAGCAAGATCACCAGTTATCTGCGAGACTTTGAAGCGGGACTAAGGAAAACTTCACTTACAATTGAGTGTTTCAAGCACATTTTTTAATGGTAACCCATAGTTATAGTTTAAAGTGTATTTGCACTTTGGCAGCCGATTTGGGATAACACCTATTTTATATTTGCTACATGTTCCCATTCACATAGAATAAGCTAAAAAAATGCAGGTTTAATACTTTTACTTGGGTTAGGGTTTCTTGGCTTCTTAAGGGTAAAAATTAGATTTTCCTTTCAAATATTATGAGGGGTTGTGATGGGGTTAAAGGATTAGAACCTTGGCTTTTCCATTGTATTTGAATGAAGGTAACGAGAGAAATACAACCCAAAAATGTCAGTCTTTCTATAAGGACAGATCACTGTGAAGATGCTGAGATAAACTTGGAATCAGGCATGTTGCTTGCTGCAACAAAACATCTAAAAGGTAACTTTGTGTGAATAGGAACACATAACAAACATATAGAGGGGGTTTTCTCGAATTTGACTGCAAACTGTAAATTTACGTTAAAAAGGCTTTTATTACACTGTTGTTTCTATTATGTAATTGCTGAATTAATTTTGCATTGTTAGGTTTTTTGTCGATCTCTACCTGACCAGAGACCGCCACTTCCTCACCATCAACAGTAACAGTAAAACCACCTCTGAGGTCTGGCTAGTAGACTGTAATTGTCCTTTTCAATCCCCTGTGCTGGTACAGCAAAGAGTGCCAGGTGCAATTTACCATGTTGAACACAGCAATGGGCATCTCTATATTCTGACAACTCATGGAGAGCCTGCCGAGTACAAGGTAAATATCTTTCATAGATTCAGAGGGGTTGTAAGTGAATAAAGTGAAGCTACAATAAAGATGTTAACGCTTAATTAGGTATTTGGTCCACTCTGCTTTAGTAACAATCATGTTCACACTCTTCCTTGCAATGCTGAGCTCTTGCCTGCCCTTCCCTCTATCCTGCTCTGTGCCCGTCACTATGATGGGTGGCCATAGTGGCCAGGAGGAACTTGTGATAGGTGTGGTAGGGGGCAAGCCAGCAACTGGACATTGCCAGGAAGTGTTGAAACATTCTTGTTATAGTACCCTGGGTTCTGAAGACTACATGTAAAGGTATGTGCAGGAAGTGCTTGGTGCCTGCATTGCAGTCCTGGGCCCTGTTCAGTACTTTTTCTTTGGTACGGATTACTTTAAATATTTCATTAAACATTGAAAACACAGCAAATAAATAATAAATGTCAAGTATAAAGCCAAAATTGCCATTTAAAAAGTCGTTCCTGTAGATGTTGGCCCCATTCGGCCTGCATGGTTTGTGGATTCTCTGGCAGATGTATGCACCTGAGACCTGCATTTTTTACCCATAGTTTTTATTGGATGGTAGGACTGAGTGCTAAGAAGTCTGTATAGTGAAGTTGTAATGAAGAACCCTTAAAACAGAATTCCAGGGGGAAAAAAAAATATTATTACCTTTTGCAGTGGAGCTACCCCCGCATCGCAAGGGTTAAGAGCTCGTTTCTCTAGGGAGGGAAAAAACAGATATACTCATCCGATCCTTGGAGCCAGCTGGCCGTGACAGCACTCCGTCCAGCCTTCCTCCATTGCACTGATGGAATGTCCTTCGGCGTCTTCACGTCCAATACACAGTGTATTGGACTTGGTGATTTATGGGACCTTAGACCGCTGCAACAGAGGGGGAGAGAGGATCCAGGGATCGGTAGGAAGACAGCTAAAGGAAGACAGCTCAGAGGATCAGGTGAGTATAACTTTGTTAATTTCCTCCCTAGACCAAAATGAGAATTTAATAATTGCAGTGCCAGGGTAGCCCCACTGCAAGGGTTAATTATAATTTCCCTGGAGTCCTTGCATGCTTTTAAATGCTTATGTCTTCTTTAATGCTTAGGAAATATTGACTAGAGTAGAAAAATATTGTGGCGAACAGCGAGTGTATCCAATCAAATGCAGTCAAGGTCCAGGTATTCAGGGAGCCACAGGTGCTGACTTTCTAAATATAGTAGCTGGCAGGGGGGATTCCTTCGCCCACGCTGTTTATCATGGGTGGGAGAATCCAGTGATTTCTCTTGTTTAGCCCTTGGGGTTGAATGAGAGAAATCTAAGCATCATCTCTGAATTGGTGCTGACACTGTCCTTCCTTCTGGAAGGTGATTACTTTTGTTCCCCATGGTCCCTGTGTGTGTTGTAAAGTAGCCACCGCTCCAAGCTCTCTCCTGTGATGGACTATATTCTCACGTTTAGTTTACTCATTTGTATTGAGATTGTAGTCCATCACAGGAGTGAGCTTTGGGAACAAAAGTAATCACCCTCCAGAAGGAAGGACAGTGGCGGCACCAATTCAGAGATCATTTGAGGATCTACAGCCGAGTGATACACAAATACGATACATTGTTGTAAATAGTTAGGGTACTTGAATGCATTTTTAAGATTTAACTCCTGACTTTACTGTCACTTTAGCGTAATGTTGGTACTTCTGTACATTAGTAGGGTCACATTTGCAGAATGTTGTGTTTGGCTATATTTGTAAATGTATGCAATAAATTCCTCTGCCTTAAATATGTTTTATAAACACATTTCATTTAGCTTCCCACTTTTACTGACTGGTAGAAGTGAATGATTATGTTCGGCTATAAATTAAGCACTGACTATTCCCTCTGCCTGTTGTTGATGCAGTTAATGAAGGCTTCTGTCAATAGCTCTATAAAACAATGGAAGCCAATTTATCAAGTAAAGCCACATTCCCGATTGGTGGACATGGAGATCATTAAAGATCACTGCGTCATGTTCGTGAAACGACACAATGAGCTTCATATGGACGTGACTTCCTTATCCAGCGAGATGCTGTGCCACTCAATGAAGGTAAGCTTTGCCTTTGGGGCTTATTTTATAGAATATACAGATACAGATTTTAATGCGCCAAAAACTAAGGCTAGCCATACACTTAGAGTTTCTCATCCGCAGGGGGAACGAGAGAAATCACTCAATTCCCCCATTCATGCTAAACATCGGTGAAGGAGATATCGGCACTGACAGCTATGGTTTTCAAACAGTCAACGCCCAACGCTGTGTGTACCAAAACATTAACTTCATCTGATTGGACGCGTGTGTGTCTGTGTGTGTAGCACAATGGTTTAGCTCATTGTGCTGCTTTTTCCTCTCCCAGTCTGGGCACTGCTGTACAGGGGCTGCAAGAGGATGATACCAAATCAAATCCAGGTACTTACACTGTAAGTGTATTGTTTAAAAAAATACATTGAATGACATAATGATTGCACAGCTTCATTTATTTGGGTTTATTTATATCTGGAGTGCAGCTTTAAGGCTTACACGTAATGACTAAGGTGAAAGTAAAAGAAACAAGCTGCAAGTCTTGTCTTTCAGGGTTAACGGTTAGTTAACCCTGAAAGGGTTCAGGGTTAACGTATGTGGTCTGTAATCATGAAAACACATTGTTATATTTGCAAACATGCTAGATTTCCTGAGCTCTATAAAGCAGCTCTGGTTTGTAGATGGTTGACCATCTGGTGTCTGCTCAGTGTATGGTGAATAAAACTGGAGGATTGACCTCACAGTCCAGTACATATAACATTTACAGCACAGTGGCATAGTGGTTAGCACTTTTGCATTGTAGCACTGGGGGTCCCTGGTTCAAATCCCAGGCAGGACACCACCTGCAAGGAGTTTGCACGTTCACCCTGTACTTGTATGGGTTTCCTCCGGGTACCCCGGTTTCTGCCCACACATTTCAAAGACATGCTGGTAGATTAATTGGCTCCTGTCTAAATTAGCCCAAGTATGTATGCATGTGAGATAGGGACCTTAGATTGTGAGCTCCTTAAGGGCAGGGAGTGATATGAATATGCATGTAAATAGGGCTGCAACAACTAATCGATTATGGGAAGTGTGTGTGCGTGATTTTGAATGCAACCAATCAATTAGTTGACAAAAAAACAATCGGGCAACAAATCCATTATGTTAATGATCGTTAGCTGCAGCCCTACATGTAAAGCGCTGTGTAAATTGTCGGCACTATATAAAATACCTGTAAAAAATAGTTGCAGACAAGGAGCTTTTTTTTATCTACTGAGAGGCCGTGTGAGTTTCTTTTGCTATAAAAGCTTCTTTCTGTCTGTCAGCATTTTTTCTCTGTACACTGAGCTTCACATGCACAGGCTCAGCAAGATTCTTGACAAAATTAAGTAACTCCTGTGCTCATGTGCCGGAGTGATGTCTTTGGGGTCCGGCCAGTCAAGCAGCCGAAGAATCAGAACCTGGAAGCACTGGCAATGGAGGAGTGCAGCGCTGGAGGGTATCGGTCTGACAGATAAGTCTGCCATAATCTGCTAACATGCTAAACACACGAGCACATTATGGCTAAAAGCTTCAGAGGGAGCTTTTCTCCCCCTTTATTTATTGGGGTAGATTCCCACAAACAGTGAAGGCTGGATCACAGGTCTGGCTGAACTGAACTGTAAATCAATAGTGAAACAAGAGATTTCACATATATGTATTTTACCATGTAATTATTAGTCTGCCTGGAGGTCAGCTTTGCAGTTGTTGCTGGCATAGCCATCACTGTAATCTAGGGGTGTTTGCCTCTCATTCACACATGCGGCATGAATCCCAGGCGTCCTGTTCAGATGTGGCCGTTGTGCCCATTAAAGTAAATTACAGGGTAAGAGGCTGCATAGATGGTTGTCCCTGGATCCAGGATAGATGCGCCCACTGTCACCCTGTCATTTATTTCAATGGGTACAGAGGTCACATCTGAACCAGACACCTAGGATTCCTGCTGCAGGAATTCATAGGTTCTTGGTGCAGCAATCCCTAAACATCCTGTGTGAATGGGGCCTTATAGAACAACTCCAGGAAATATTTTTATTAACCCCTAGCAGTGGGTCTACCCCCCTGCACTGCAAGGGTTAACTGCTCGTTTTCATTATACTCACCTGAACCTTGGAGCCAGTCGACTGTCACATTGCTCCCTCCAGCCTCTCTACTCCTACAATGCAGCGATGGAATGTCCCTCGCTGTCCTCACGTCCTATACACAGGGGAATTTATCATAAGTGGAGCAGACAAAATCTGAAGCAGCTGTGCATGGCAACCAATCAGCTTCTTTCTTCAGTTTGTTCAGTTAAGATTTGAAAATGAAAGAGAGAAGCTGATTGGTTGCCATGCACAGCTGCTCCAGATTTTGCCTGCTCCAGTTTTGATAAATTCCCTTCACAGTGTATAGAACGTGATGACTCTGGGAGACCACTGCAGCAGGGGGAAAAGAGATACTGGAAGGGCCGGTCTAAGAGCAAGCCGGCTCCATGGATCAGGTGAGTATAACTTTTTTATTTTAGTCTCTAGTCTTTAGTCAAAAATGAGCACTTAACCCATGCAGTGCGAGGGTAGCTCCACAGCAAGGGTTAATTAAACTTTTTTTCCCAGAGTTGTTCTTTAAAGCCAGCAATTCACCTGAGGAAACCTGATTTTCTTGGCTTGCTCAGAATGCATGCGGGTACCACTGTGAATCTGAGATTTTTCTCAACAGCTTTCCAATCCCAAAATCTTACGTTTAATTATAAAATACAGGAAAAAGAAAGTGTGTATGAAATATTTAGGGATGCACCGATCTATCGGCCGCCAAAACATATCGTCCGAAAATTGCACTTTTGGCTAAATGCAGAAAGTGCCATTTTCCTGCCGATACAGCGGCGCATCCCTGCTTTCTCTCCTCCCCGCTGGGCGCTGCTCTGTGTCCCAGCGGGGAGGACAGCGCTGTGACAGCCAGCCGAACGTTGCGGGAGGAGAGCGCTGCCGGCTTTCTCCCACACTGCTCAGCCTCCTATCACAGTCCGGCAGAGTGGTGTGTGGGCGGAGACAGCGCTGTCACAGGAGGCTGAGCTCTCCTCCCTACACCGTTCGCTCAGCCTCCTGTGACAGCGCGTGTCAGAGAGGAGAGCAAGGTACAAACACTCAGTGATCGCTGAGTGTTTGTACATAATTGAGGACATGGTATGCTTACTATTTCCTCAATTATAAAAGAATGGGAGTGATCTATATCAACTCCTGGTCATTCATAGTTGTAGTTATAGTAAACATACTATGTCCTCATGTTATGAATGAACAGGAACGCTCAGTAGACATTTCCATTTCGGTGTACCTCTAGAAATATTATGTCATCAAATCATAACGTGTTAACAGCGGTGCAGGCACTAATTTTTTTCCCATCGAACCTATTTTGAATTTGAAGAAAGAAGGCAAAATGAAGTTTCGTCCTTTCAGCGGCTTGCAGAGACTGAATACTGATTTGTCTTTTTTGTTGTTGTTCTTGCTGCACTGAGAAGCCGGCACATAATAGCCTCAAACAACCAAGTGTACGTGTGCTAAAAAAGGGGCATTGTTGTGCTGAATGGGTTTTCTTTAGCTCCCCATTCCAAGGCACCAATTTCAAGTGACTAAATGCTAAAGAGCCAACGTCTAGCACAAGACCGCTAACTGGAATCAAACTGGCTAGATTACCCGAGCGAGTCGGCCAAGGGGCGTATAATCAGAGATAGAGAGGAGGAAATAACAGGACTGAATAGAATTTTTTGCGGAATAAAATGTTACTTAAACAAGATGGAATATTACTCACCGGTGCTGCAAACTCGCCGCTTTACCCCCTAAAAGCATTGCCTGACTCCAGTAATCACAGCCGCCAGCTGAAAATTAACTTTCGATGCAGTCGCGATTATTTTAAATCACAAAGGGACCATAAACGGCATGTACTTGGAACAAATGTCATCTTCTTGTCTGTTCCTCTGAACGGTAATGTTTGGCTTTAGGTGTCCCGCTTTCACGTGACATGCGGAGGTAGAAATTGCTTTCCAGCCCGCACCAAATTTTCCTTTTTCAGTTCAGTTGTATAGCAAGCCTGTCATGAGAAAAAGATGTGAGCTGCAATTGCTGGCCTCTCCTAAAAATGATGGTTGCCTGGCTGTCATGTCGATTCTCAGGCTTCAGTGCCATGTTACTGACGTAGAAGAAGTGCACAGATCTGGAGTCCTGACTACAATGGGTGCATTTCTGTTTCACACGTCTAACCCAGAAAACATTGAGGTCTGAGACAGCTGTGCCGAATACAATATTTACAAGTCGTCATGTTCAACACATCCTAAAATTATAGGGTTCAATGTTTTTCAAAGATGAACTCTGAGCAGATATTTAAAAAAATGCCAGAAAGAAAACAAAATCTGTAAAGCTAAACTCCAGAAACACTGCTAAATATGTATTATATGCTCTTTTACCTGCCAAACCGTTTGTATTAATGTCCATCCAGTCCCGAGATTTACATAGTGCTGCCTGGCAGAGCAGGATAGTTTGGGTTTTTTTTCCCTCAGCTGCAAGTTAGTAACATTCACAGGTCTTGTCCCTACCCCCAGCCTGTGATTGGACAGTGAAAGGAAAATCGATGAGCTAATCTCTCCATCCGCCTATCCGCATGCTCCTTGCACCGCAGCGCACTTGATTGGCTCCTTGGCTTAATTCCCCCTCTTCTAGTCTGAGCATTTTTGTACAGGGATTGCAAGAGGCTGATAGCAAGTCAAAGTCCGGTACCTACACTGCTTGCATTAACAAAAATGGTGAATACAGGGCTGCATTCATTTGTTTTCTGTTTGCCTGGAGTAGAGCTTCAAGCCCCCCCCCCCCCCCCCCCCACCCCGGGGGGGTAGATCAATACAGCCCCCCCCCCCCCCCCTACACATTGGGGGAATTTATGAAAGTGTTTGTAACAACATTTAAAGGACAAAGACTCGCTGCACATGTTTTGTGACATCTCGCAGGATTTCTCAACTGTGCAGTAATTGCATCCAGTATTATTTAAAACCCTCCAAACTGTCGCACATTCTAGAAGTCCTCCTGCTCACTTCCTAAAGAAGAACTCTGGGCAAAAGTTTTATTGAAGAGGAACTTTACCCATATCTTCAAAATAACAACAAACACACCTTTAGAAATGTTTAGTAATAACAATCTATAAACACATACTTCTAGATAATTGCCGGCTTTGTGTTCTTCTCATACCTTATTTTTCTTTCCTTCCACAATCTTCTGACAGCAGCCATTTTTACTAAGGGCTGGTTTCTAGATCTCCCTTTACTTCCTAGAACTCTGGCACATGTGACTAGAGCATGTGACCATGCACATAATCTCGGGAGGAAAATGCTTCTCCCTGAGATCTCATGAGATTACAGATTAGATTTCCTAGCAATGCACTGCTGATGTAACCTTCCCAGGATGCAACGCTTGGGCACGATTACATCATGTGTGCTGAAGTGGCCCAGGAAGTTGACATACACTTTGAATACCCCCAACACTAGATATCCAATTGTGAAAGGGACAACAAATCTACCGCATTAGCCAATCATATAACACCCACATGATCAGACCTGAATGAAAACAACCATTCATTGTAGAAAGACTTCATATGCACTTCCCATCCCTCAACATAGGTAGCACTGATCATCTCCTCCCAATAATTCTCTTCAGTCACGCTAACATGAACCTTTGGCTGAGCCAGACATTCATGTTTATAGCCCTGTAAAGCAGTGGTGATGCTAAGCAGGGTTGGATTTTTCATGCCCTTCCATAGGATGTCTACATACACATTTAGCTTCTAAGCTCATTCAGGCCAGACCCTCTTCTCCCCCATGTCCTGTATTGCCTGAATGTCCTGTATGGATCTTATAATCTGTACGGCTTTGTGTAATATTCTGCACTTTGCAAACAAAAGATAATGGTAAATTACCTTATATGACACTTTCCTGGCTAGTGGAGAAGTGCACCCCTAGTGGCCACAGATCTGTATTTGATTTATGACATTAAAATAATGTCGAGTGAAAAGCCTGTAAAAACATGAAAACCTCAGCAAAATGAATTCCAGATAAATGTTACATTCACGGCTCAAAAAACAAAGCGTGTTACTTTTTACCTTTTACATTTTAGACAGTACACTGCTTATGCAGAGAAGTGCAAGTTGGGGACAAAACAAGTCATCAGCCCTGTCACCGTCACCCCGTTCATTTTCAATAGGTGGAAGAGTAAACATTTTTCCTTTGTAAATGGAATTTGACTTTAAATATCACTTCACAGAGCAAATTTAATTTTGACAAGAAAATCATGACCTGTTTCATAGTTTGCTTTTTAATTGAAATAGTGATTGAATTTCATTATAGTGTTTAAATAAAAAAAGGTTATTAACAAGTTGAGTGCAGCGAACCATTTAAGCTACACCACTGTCAGCGAATGTTTTGTTCTGAGAGCGCAAGTCTTTCTTCAGCTTTGATATCCGTATATATAATTATCATATGAATTGAGGTGAAACAGCTTTGCAGATTAAATCTATCACACGCATTCAAGGATTTTACAAGTCTAAATACGGACATTGAATTTCCAGAGAAATTAGTGTGTTTTGTTCTCTTTTTTTTTATATATATATCTTTATTTCTGTCCAGCTTCCAGCATGGGCCTGTGCAGTTCAATTGGCAGTACACCCAGAACAAAGCACCGATCTCCTCCAGTTTGACCTAGAGTCTCCAGTGTGTCGTCCTGTCACCTTTGCTTATTCAGTACTAGAAAACACTTTGGCGATAGAAGCTGATCATGCTATTGGAAACAACGGGACTTGTCAAGTTATCCATCTGAAAGCGAAAAGCAAGGTTTGTGGTGGTCTACTCATAGATTAGGGACCCTGTCATGATAAAAATATGGAAGCAGCCATTGTCAAACCATTTTGAAAAATAATATAGTTACATAGTTAGTTTTTTTTTTAAAAGATACAAATCCATAGAGTTCAACCAATAAAAAAAAATGAGATGGAGAGGCATCTACAGTCCACATCGGGGCATCAATGGTGCTGCTTCTTAGATACAGCACAGCGTGCAAGGGCTTATGGCCTACACTTGCCATGATGTTGTAGGCCACAAACCCTTGCATGCCGTGCTGTCATGTTTAGATGGTGTTTATATGTATATTCCATGGCATAGAAAGATGAGTTCTTGATGTTCCTCCAAGCACCACCTTCCTTCACCATGCCTCTGTGGATATTCACTTCAGTTTTTAGGGCTTGTGCCCTTAAGAACAATCTACACCTGGGCCCAGTTGCTTTCTGGTCCTGGAATACACTGTTAAGGATAGCTCGATAAGCATCAATTGGACACACTTGATGCTTATCGAGGTATTTTGGTTAAAAAAAAACGAAATAAGCATCAAGTGTGTCCACCCCCTGTGCAGAGACAGCTATAGTCTCCACATGCTCTCCTTTCAGGTCGGTCAATCCCCTTTTGGGCATCTTGCAACCCCACAGATGTACCCCATTTATCCCTTTACTCTCTGCCCTTCAGAGTATATCCTCATGTATAGAATTCGATATTGATTGCTTAGTAATACTTTTGCTTTTAGGTTTAGAGGCTCTATAAAATTTGCTAACGCATCTTGAGAGTAGAAGCAGAGGATGGTAAATGTTAGAGAAGCTATGGAATTCTCTATTCATGCTCTTCAGCTACACAGTTATCAACCAAAATGGGACGGCAGTGTCCTATTAACATTCTGCATTGTCCCAAGTTTGCTGTATATTCCTGGGCATTGTCTGCATGATATATCGATGCTAGTTATGTTTTGTGTTTGACATGTACCCACTTGTTGACAGGATGGCACTTTGGTGCCAATTACTCTTTTCTGTGAAGCGGATGATGGACTCACACAGAGGCCGCTTCTGGTCCATGTGTATGGAGCCTATGGGATGGATTTGAACATGAATTTCAAAGCTGAGAACAAATTGCTGGTTGAAGATGGCTGGATATTGGCTTATTGCCATGTCAGGTAATGTCTTCACAATAAAAATAAATGTGTTACTTCTGTGAAAATCCTTAAAGATGCCCATATTTATTAGCCAAGAATTTTTGTAAGCCTATATATGGGCTGCCTAACAAATTTAGGATGTCAAAACCTAACACAAATATCAGTTGGTTGGGGTGAAAGATGTGGTCATTTACAGGTGAAACTCGAATAATTAGAATATCGTGCAAAGTTCCTTTATTTCACTAATGCAACTTAAAAGGTGAAACTAATATATGAGAGAGACTCATTACATGCAAAGCAAGATAGTTCAAGCCGTGATTTGTCATAATTGTGATGATTATGGCTTACAGCTCATGAAAACCCCAAGAACCCCAAATCCACAACCTCAAAAAAGTAGAATATTACATGCAATCAATAAAACAAGGATTGTATATAGAACAATATAGGATCTCTGAAGCTCTGAAGAGTACAAGCATGCATATGTGCTCGGTACTTGGTTTGGGCCCCTTTTGCAGCAATTACTGCAATTACTTTTGCACGATATTCTAATTATTCGAGTTTCACCTGTAGGTGCCCCTTTGGTAGGCATTCTGTGTACAATCTCATCTAATGTCCTATTATATTCTTATTGTACTGTAGGACTGCACATGTAATGCAGTATGTAAATATATATACTGCCTGTCCCCAAACAGGCAGTGTGTATATTTACGGCATACATTCACCATGGAATCGTTTGGATAAGCTTATGCAATGTCACAACGTTTATTTTCATCCAGAGTTGCATTCATTTTTCACCAAGATCTTGTAGTGATGATGGGAGAGTCAGACCACTGCATAAAGTCTTCTCCAGCACATCCTAAAGGTTCTCAATGGGGTTAAGGTCTGGACTCTGGACTGGCCAATCCATGTGGGAAAATTATGTCTCATGCTCCCCGAACCACTCTTCCACAATTTGAGCTTGATGAACCACTCTGGCATTTTCATCCTGGAATATGTCCATGCCTTAGGGGTCATTCAGTATAGTCAGGTAGACAGCTGGCCTAATTTTTTAGGCACATAATGTTGCTGAACCTAGACCTGACCAACTAAAGCAACCCCATATCATAACACGTATCCAGTGGAAGGCTCTTACCTATTTGCTTAGCTAACTCCAGGTGGTGACTTATTTTTGAGGGGCCAGGCGGTGTATAATTATCGCTCTTGATAAAAAAAGAACAGCAGATTCATACAATTCCAGTTAACTTCTATAAATCCTCTATGGGAGGATTGAAGTTATCTTCAATTAAGTTTGCTCTTTTGGAAGCACCACCATCACCATTTGGTTACACACTCCCTCTACCTTTAGACCTGATTCACATTAAGGTTTATATGCACATTCTGTATATTGCTGGCTCCCCCCCAGCATTCAAATCTTTCTTGTTTGTCTTCCGGCTCCAACCTTTGCACTCAACTCGACTGCCTTGCCTCTCCTTAGTCTTGACATAATGCTGACCTATCTGCTGAAGCTCATGTGGTTCTCTGAAAAAGCAGAAAACAACCCAATTTAGAAATAAATGGCTAGTAGTGTGATCCGTATAAAACTTAATACTGCCTGGCACATTTACGGGAGATAATTCCCTACACCAGAAGCTGTCAAATGTGAGCCTAAACTGGCTGGCCAAATAGAGTAGATTGGCCTCTCCGCAGGATAGAAGGATAACTGGGGGCTTTTTGGTTTAAAGACCAAGCTTTAAGGACTTTTTAATTAAAAAGGAAGAAATTGCCTTTTACTATACGCTGTGACCCACAGTAAGGGCTCTGATTTTTAGTGTTGGCTCTTTTAGGTATGCCTGCAGATGTTACAGGTGCTGTTTTTTAACCAGTTGTACAGCTTTATTATGAGCCTCCTATGACGTTCCTCTGGTGTTTCCAATAACGTATATTTGTGAAAGCTGCTTCTGATACAGTTTAAGCCCACTCACTAATATCAAAATCCCAATATATGTTTCGGACAGGCTTCTGCCTGAAAGTTGCTGTTTGGAGAGCTTTATGAGGCTTCCCATACCATGGACAGAACTAGAGCTGCAACAGTTAATCGATTTAGTCGATTAAAATAACTTACTTCTACTGAGAGTTTAACTTCTTATCCCCATCATTGTTCGTCTGTGTATCTGTATTGTATATCTTTCAGTGTCTGTGTTTACCACTGCCTGCCAGTTTGCCTCCATTAGCGTTTCTTAGTCTACATTTAAGTTGATGGCGTATTGTAAAAAATATTTCCTGGAATACTATTAAGATCAGGTCCATTGACACTGATAGCTGAACTAGGCCCATTGCCTCATGCATTTTTCTGGTCACTGAATCCTTCCCTGAATACCACTATCCCATGTATATAACATATAGTTGGGGGGTACATTTTCTCATATATTAAAGGGTTTGTAAAGGCATGACACAAATTTACTCCCAAAACCTTATTGCCCCCCCCTCTAGAGCATGTGCCAGTGTTATTATTTTTATTACTTCCTGGGACATCAATGCGAGGCTTGCAAAATTCTTGCATGGGCATCTTGCGTGGGCGGAAGAATCAGGTGGATGCTCTGTCAGTTTCTATTGTTGTAGGCATGCCCCCCAGAACTACATCTCTCAAGAGCCCTTTTTAACACACAGTGTGTGAGCAGTCTCTTGGGAGTCAAGGTAGCAGCATTGTTTTGCTGAAAAAGAATTCAGTGGCTGCCTGAGGAGGGGGTGAGGATAGGCAGAGTTCTGTAGTCTGGCAGAGGAAAATTCAAACAGGGCTGGCAATGCTACCTGGGATTTCAATGTAGCAGAGGCAGCGTAATCAGCCCACATGTGGAAGTTAGGAGCTCTCTGGATTTCTTGCAGGATCACCAGGTATTTTTCTGTTCCTGCAACATTTTAAAGAGATAGAAAATGGGGAAATGTGCATGTATTGCAAAGAAGTATTTCATATGTATGTTGTTTTTTTTTTGGGGTGGTGGTTTGTTATTTTGTGCAGACACTCTAACTTTTTGTTGTCCTCACAGAGGTGGCGGAGAGCTTGGCTGTAGCTGGCATAAACAGGGGATATTGGATAGAAAGTCGAATGGCGTGCATGATCTACAGGCCTGTATAAAGCACATTCACCAACTGGGATATTCGCAGCCCTGTTACACAGCAATTATGGCTGCCAGCGCTGGAGGAGTTGTGGTTGGAGCCCTTGCCAATTCTGATCCTGGGCTTTTTCAAGCGATGATTCTGGAGGTACCATACTAAATACATACATTAGGAATGCTGCCAGATGGGTGTCAGTTTCTGAAGGGAGGTTACTAGCCAGACTCCAGTCTACTAAGTAATGAAAGCAACAGTATCACAGGGTTCAACTTTAGTTTTCTAGGGAGCTGTGTGAGATCGAGACTTTTCAGTGTTACCACACTGTGTGGTGTCTAGTGAAATAGGGGGTCTCCATTTTGTTTTAAGGAATCCCCTCTAATTTATTCCTTGTTCTTAAAAAGTAAGAAAAAAATGCTTTACTAAAATTGAGCAAACAGTGCATTTCATATTATAAATGCTGTAGAGCAGACAATATGCTTCAAAGACAAACGTCAACATGCCAGTGAGTGGACTGTGAGTTATTAGTTATAGAGGGTTAACCACTAAAAAATGGATGTTCTGAAATGTAACTATATTTCTTATATATTTGTTTTTGCCAGGCCCCTTTTTTGGACGTTCTGAACACAATGGTGGACACATCGTTACCACTCACTACAGAAGAGGAGGAGGAGTGGGGCAGTCCAGCATGTAACATGGAAGACTACAGATCTATAGAATCCTATTGTCCTTACCAGAATATCAGACCACAGGTAGGAGTATATCGGGTATATCAGATGTTTTCACAAGCAGGCACTTTGCTTCCCCTTCTCAGTACTGCTGAGCTTGAAAGTTTATGTTAGTGGAAAGGAATTGGAGGGAGTAGGAAAGAGACTGCCTGTTTATTGGGGGAGCTCAGATGTCCAACTCTTTAAAACCCACTTGGAATTTTAGGTGGCATGGCCATGATTACCTGTGCACTGACTTCTGGGTTGAGCGAGATTGGGCATCATATAATCTAAAGTTGGGCAGCAGTTATTGGACTCGGTGGGTGAAGTATTGTAACAAAAGCTGATTTTTTTTTTCAAAGAATAGAGACTTGAATATTGTATTTGGTCTAACTCGGAATTGTTATTCATTTTCAGAGTTATCCTTCAGTTCTGATCACAGCTTATGAAAATGACCAGCGTGTTCTCCTAAGTGGATTACTGAGCTATGTAAAGAAACTTAGAATGGCTGCAGAGCATAACCTCCAAAGTTCTGATTTGACAGGTACTTTTCAGACACAAGCTTGCATTTTCCACCTATTCATGCACTTTATTTTCTTAGTTTCATTTCCTGACCTTGTTGGTTTTTCTAGCTCCACCCACTTTTCAGATTCTATTTTCCCTCTATGTACAGCAGACAGGAGTCGCTTTGACTAGACTGTAAATGGCATACACAGTTTTTTTCTTATAAAACTGATCATCAGTGTCCATAAGTTTTCTTACATATACAGTATCTGACAGAAGTGAGTACACCCCTCACATTTTTTGTAAATATTTATATTCCAGCCCATATAACATGAGAATTAAATGAAATCATTAAGGCATATTAGGGGATGACTGCATTTAGAAAATAGCATTGTGTAAACAGACAACCGAATGTTGCAGATATATATCAATAAACGAGTTTCGCACAATAGTAGCCATCAATCAATGCAAAAAGATTATTTTCACCTGGTGATCCGGCCAGTAAATCTGACTAAGCTGTCCAGCAAAAGTGGCAGATAGAGGGTTGGGACAAACCATTGAACACTGACAGGGGGGTGCTTACAATAATTAGCTTTTATTAATTTATGTAAAACCTTTATCCAAAAAGGAGAATAAAAAACTAAACTGTTGCTGTAACTGCCTAAAAAGTGTTAGCTGGAGTTTGCATTTAATTTGTTGTTCAAGTCCATTTAAATCTGCTAGACCATCTAACACCACCACTCCACAGGGTGACAATGCTGCTGTCCAAGGGGGGCTCCATTGACCTCCATAGAGTGAATCCATTCAAAGACAGGTGTGTTCCTCGCAGGATCACCGGGTGAAAATAAAGGAAAACAGCCTAAAGAAAGAAAACGAATGCACCATAATGTATTAAAAGTGTGTGAGTGAGTATGAAGTTAGAGGGATTGATTTACTAAAGGAGTGAAGACTGTGTCACATAGCAAAGTGGTTGTTCTGTATTGGATAGAGTGGTGTGGGGCACTGGCTCATGTATGTAAATATCTTCATTGAATACAAAGTATGATCTCTGGGAGGAATATCCCCTAGGCAGACGTGTAGAGGGTAAAGGCCATACACAGGCTCGGATCAGCTTACAGTGTAGAGCAGGGGCACCCACAATTTTTCGTCTGCAGATCTACTTTTCAAATGATGAGATCTACCAACGAAAAAACACCTGCATTCAGGGGCTGGAGGGGGTGTGGTGGTGCATTGAAGTCAATGGCACCGCAGGCAGGCCCCTCGCCCACAGTGTGATCGCCTGTACCCGGAACCCAGGCACCTTAGTGCCTGCGTTCCAGTCCAGTGCAATCCGCAAAAATTCTGCAAGCACTATTTTTGCAGATCGCACTGGACCGGAATGCAGGCACTAATGTGCCTGCGTTCCAGGTGCGTGTGATCGCACTGTGGGCGGGGGGCATGGCTGCGGTGCCATTGACTTTAATACAACCCCACACTTCCTCCCGCACCTGAACGCAGGGAGTCGGCCTGCTTACATTCCAGTGCGCCCTAGAGGCCCACCGCGTCCTGTCCTCCCGTGGTGCTCGAAGCTATTTTATTTTAATTTTTTTTTTTTACTGTTGGGGGGCTTCGGGGAAATATTAGGGGTCTAAACAGCCCCCTGATATTTCCCTTTTAAAATAGAAAAAGAAATTGAGGATACAAAATCCTCAATCTCTTTTTCTGCAGGCTCTGTTCTAAATGAATGGAAAGCACAGAGGCTTCCCATTCATTCAGAAAATATTTTACTATCATCTAGTTTCTGAATGGGGAGGAGCCTCTGTACAGATGTAAATCACAACCTGTTCATTCATAACTGGGGACACATAGTACTCTATCCAAAACAAACAAAAAAGGTTTTGGCTTTAGATATACACTGCTTGTCCAGAAAAAAAGTCACACGCCGTAATATTTGGTTGAACCGCCTTTAGCTGTGATTACGGCATACATTCCCCGTTTTGATAAGCTTATGCAATGTCACAACATTTATTTCCATCCAGAGGTGTATTGATTTTTCACCAAGATCTTGTAGTGATGACGGGAGAGTTGGACCTCTGTGTAAAGTCTTCTACAGAACATCCCGAAGATTCTCAATGGGGTTAAGGTCTGGACTCTGGTGGGCTATCCATGTGTGAAATGATGTCTCATGCTCCCTGAACCACACTGTCACAATCTGAGCCCAATGAATTCTGGCATTGTCATCTTAGAATATGTCCGTGCCATCAGGAGAGAAAAAATCAATTGATGGAAATACCTGGTCATTCAGGTAGGCAGCTGACATAATATTTTGGGTATATAATATTGCTGAACCAAGACTAATTATCCATTGAAATGCTCGGACCTATTTGCTTAGCTGAATCTAGGTGGCGACTTGTTTTTTTGGCCAGGTAGTGTAGTTTAAATGCAGCTTTTGTTGCTAGCACACGATTGGGTATTTAGAGTGAACACAGCTTCATCTTATGTACTTTGAAGGGTGAACATGCACTTTGATAGTAAGCAGACTCTACACCTTTCAGTAAATCAACCCCACAGTGTTGCATGGCGATCTTTGTAAGGATTTATTAAATTTTCTTTCAGATTCTAGAACACCTAAAATATTACTAGACGTTCATCCTGGTGGAAGCCATTGTGACTCCTTGCCCTGGGAGGAATCCTTGCAGAAGGTAAATGAGAGTGGTAACCTGTTCTGCTGGCCAGAATACCAGTCCTTGTATATATCCAGCACTGCAAATGTAGCCAAGGCTCCTTCTATTCCCTGAGATAATTTATAATTTCATGATTTCCTCCAGGTGGCAATGCATCTGTCCTTTCTACACGAGGAGCTGAACCTGAATGAAAGTAATCTTTCTTTCCAGAGATAACGGGTGACACCCCCTCTATGAGGAATGAGTCTGGCTGCTCATTGTATATGTTTTCTTTTTTTTTATTTACAAAAACAAGTTCTATTGTTTTGCATATTACAGCTCGTTCCCTTTCAGGACTGCCACATTCTTGTCTTTGCACTCTTTGTCTCGGTATCCTTGTACCTTTGTAGCTCATTGGCCCTGGTTAGGGGTTTTCATACCTTTCTTAGAAATTGACTGTCGCTGTCGGTGAATGTTTGCTGTGCTTTACACTCCTGCAACCTCTCGATTTTGTGTAGATGAAAGGTGACAGCAGCTCATACTGGTTCAAACTGGTTATTCTACTAATAAAGGGTAACGCAGTGTGAAGGCTAAAGTACTCATGTCTGTAAGAGAAACACAAGTTGAATGAATGAACTTCATTTAACTCGTTAGAGGGCCGTTTCTCTCACTACAGGGTGCGTGCCTGTGATATGGAAGTTCCCTTAAAGTGAAACTAAACTCAGGATTTAAATCTCAAAAATGTATTCAAGTACCTCAACTATTAACATACATGTATCTTATTTGTGTATCACTCGGCTGTAGAGCCTCAAATCATCTCTGAATTGGTGGCGACACTGTCCTTCCTTCTGGAGGGTGGCTACTTTTGTTCCCTATGGTCCCTGTGTGTGTTGTAAAGTAGTCACCACTCCAAGCTCGCTCATGTGATAGATTACAATCTTAGTACAAATTAGTAAACTAAACATAAGGTTGTAGTCCATCATGGGAGTGAGCTTGGAGTGGTGACTCTGTTGAAGCAGGGCTTCAACAGAGGCATACATTTTAGAAATGGGAGGGGAAATTGTGTATGGTGTCTGAATAGATCTGTTTTATACATATCCTAATAAATGTGACTCTTTTATATGTGTTTGAATGGATCTGTTTGAGTTGCCTCTATAGTCCCATAAAAAGTGGCTAATTTTTTTGGGTGCTTTATATTTCATTTCAATGGAGAACTGTACACTGAAAATACACAGGCCATTACGTTTTGAAGCTGGTGGCTGCTTGGGTGTTCACATCCAAAGGCTTCGATACTTTGAGTCACTGACCTGGAGCAAGTATACAGATTAGACTTGTGCCTTCCTTATGACTTCACTAACAGCATGCCTTGTTCCAGTTCAGAGGATCAAAGTATTGAAGCAAGCCTTGTGCGTTGGGGTTCCATTCAATAGGATTGGCACCACACAAACTGCCATATGTTAACACTTGTTGCAGTAATGCATTAGCACAACACAAAGATCTAAAGGGGGCCATAGAGAGGCACCTGGGGTAGAGTTTCAATTTAAATAATGAAGTGGAGGAAGAATATGAACCATATTTGAGAAACAAAATATTTTATTTGCTACCAAACAATTGCAAGAAAAGTATTTTATATTTTTTATGGCATTACAAAAACTATATTTGGAACAGCATCATTTTCCACAAACTGTATTGAACAGCAATGATACTGTCTAATAAAATGCTGCTTCTTTCTGCTCCTCAGCAATTCTTGTAGAGTATACTGAAGGCACTGGAATAGCAAGCCTTCTCTGATATGAAGCATTGGCTTTTAAATGCGTCCCTGCTGTGCACAGGTTTGTTGGTCTTGTACTCCAGTATCAATCCTTCACCGCGCTCTGTGGGGATGTTGTCTGTGTTGACAGTTTTCCCGTTGTTGGTAGATATGGTGCTTAACCTGATCTTCGCTTGTGTAGGAAAATCTGCAATTTTCTCTCTAATGTTCACAGATGTTGTGTTGCCAAAGTTTAGCACCATCATAAAGACCTTGTTCAAACCGTCCATTTCTCTCACATAGGCAAAGACATTGGAGTCAGCAAATGCATAACACAACCATCCTCTGTGAAGGGGCAGCTCGCCTTTTCGGAGCTCCACTAAATCCCGATACAGGTTTAAGGTGGAGTTTGCCTGCTTCTTCTGAACCTACAGAACATTTTTATCACAGTATTAGAAACTTTATTGACAGTTTTAGAATGTGTGTGCCTTGCCTTGTTCCATTTGGGCCTAATAAATATACAGTTCAAAGTGTTTTGTTACATCAGATACGTGCAAAAAAATTACCTGTTTATTAAAAAATTCAGAGCTGTCTTGTCCACTCCTCTTGTGTTATATCAAGGAGCCTGTTGAGCCCTCCTATTTCGTATCTTCGGACTATAGATCAATTGGCCTTTATGTTGTGGAGAGTAGACTAAGGGGACGGTTAGAGTAGTTTAACAGAAGACAACTGGAAGAGCTGACACTGCTCAGTCCACAAAAATGCTGTGTGTTGTCAGCCCACAACAGTACTTAGGTGCCGAGTGCATTTTTGGCACCTAAACCGGTTTCTTTTGTACTTTTAGGGTCTTTAAAGGGAAAAACATGAGGACAAATGTATGTATTGCATATCTTTTTGTTTTCCTTTACTCTGACTTACACTTTAAACAATAATCAAAATGCTAGCATGCTTTAATCAAGTTCAGTCAGAAAAAAAAGGTAAAAAATTATCGGTGCTTAATTTTCAGCCCCTTATCACTTTTTCAGCCCCTTATCACATAAGAGAGTACTTTTCACATCATTGAAAAACACAAAAAGAATCCCCAGCACACCTCCCAGCTAGCCTGCAACAAAACAAATGACCCTGTCTAACAGTAGGAGCGCAGTGTCTGCTCCGATCAACAGATCCTGCTGATTAAGGCAGTACGGGACAGGTATCACTTTTGTGACATCCGTCCGTGTCAGTTCAGTTTTCTCCTCCATCACAGCTGAGCTGTACAGACCCATGTTAGTTCTATGGGCAGTCGGATGTATTCAGACATGTCTGTTTACATCTGATTACCTCCGATTCCTCATGTTCAGGTCCACCAAAACCAAACTTTCTGGGGGGGAGGTTCTGGACCTATATAAACTATATAGTATATAAAGTAATCAGATGTAAATAGACATCCATTTGCATTCAGCTGTCCATAGAGTTACACTGGGTTTCTAAACTAATCCACCTGAAAAACTGCGAGGCAGAGCGTATTTGGTCCTCCCATGTGAAAATCAGCCCTAAAGGCAGTTTCTGGTGTAAAAAATAAAACTACTTCATAGAACTATTTATGGTACAGTGAAAGTGCTTACTTCAACATTGAGCTGTTCATAATCCGGGTTGACTGGCAGCCATGTTTTATTGCCAGCATTAAAGCCAGCATTCAAGCTTGAATCCCACTGCATCGGAGTCTTCTCGGGGTATTCAGACTGTAAAGGTACAATGATGTCACAAAAAAGAGAAATAAAATAGTTTTAGGTCACTCAGGTAGTTTTGCTGCTTTGCTGGCCCTACTCACAATATTATTTGTAATTTGTAAATGCATTAATATAAATGATTTGTTGTTGCAGATGGGGAAAAGTTATTGTAACTGTGCAGGGAAGATATCAGCATTTTAGATCCATACTAGTGTTCCTAATGTTATAACTTTTCTTCTATTTTTTTTACTTATTTAGATAGAACGGACATTTCTTTTACAGCTACCATAGTCAAATGCTCAATTATTATTATACAGGATTTATATAGCGCCAACAGTTTGTGCAGCGCTTTACAATATAAGGAAGAAATTACAATCACAATACAAATCAAGACAAGATGGTAAGGAGGGTCCTGCCCCTGAGGGCTTACAATCTAAAAGGGAGGGGGAAGTGATACATGAGGAGGGAGCTGTGTGGGGATGAATTGTTTGAGAACGTGATGGTTGACCGGTTAGGTTGAGGTGGGATAGGCTTCCCTGAAGAGATGAGTCTTTAGGGAATGCCTAAAGGCAGTCAAGGTGGGCGACAGAGGGACAGGTTGGGATAAAGAATTCCAGAGGATGTGAGAGACTCTAGAGAAGTCCTGGAGGCAAGCGTGGGAGGAGTTACATAGTATTTGAGGTTGAATAAAGACATAAGTCCATCAAGTCCAACCTATTGTGTGTGTGTGTGTATATAGGTCCCTGAGTGTTCTCATTCTTAAGAGTAACAAAGGAACTGGAAAGCAGGAGGTCTTGGGATGAGCGGAGCCGAAGGTTAGGGTGATACTTTGAGACCAGGTTTGAGATATAGCCGGGGGCGGAGTTGTGGATGGCTTTGTAACTGATTGTTAATATTTTTAATTTTATCCTTTGGGCTATTGGAAGCCAGTGCAGGGATCGGCAGAGGGGGGTTGCAGACACTAAACAGTTGGTTAGGTGAATGAGTCTGGCAGCTGCATTTATGATAGACTGAAGGGGGGATAGCCTGTGTAGTGGAAGGCCAATGAGGAGGGAGTTGCAATAGTCAAGACGAGATATAACAAGGGAGTGGATGATTAATTTAGCGGTTTCATTGGTGAGGAAGGGGCGTATTTTGGAGATGTTACGAAGGTGAAGGCGGCAGGATTTGTATAGAAGTCCGAGTCAAGGATGACACCTATGACCCTAGCATGGGGGAGGGCTGGATAGTTGTGTTAACAATCTAAAGGGAAAAGTTGGGTGAAGGTGCACGGGCAGGAGGAGATATCAAGAGCTCAGTTTTTGAAAGATTGAGTTTTAAGAAGTGTTGTGCCATCCAGACGGATATGTCAGATAGTAGACCAGTGACACGAGAGGACACAGAGGGGGTGAGTTGTGGAGTAGAAAGATAGATTTGAGTGTCATCAGCATAGAGATGCTATTGGAAGCCATGTGAGGTTATTAACTGACCAAGGGAGGTGGTGTGGAAAGAGAAGGGGTCCAAGGACAGCCTTGGGGGACCCCTACAGGAAGAGGAGGAGTTAGAATTGTAGGTGACACTAAAGGGGCGCTTAGATAGGTAGGAGGAGAACCACGAGATAGCAGAGTCTTGTAGCCCAAGTGACTGGAGTTTTATGAGGAGGAGCAGGTGGTCAACAGTGTCAAAATCAGCAGAAAGATCTAATAGCAAGAGTAGCGAATAGTGGCCTTTGCTTTTAGCAGTGAGTAGGTCATTAGTGAGTTTTAGGAGGACGGTTTCAGTGGAGTGTAGGGGCGAAAGCCAGATTGTAAGGGGTCGAGAAGGTTGTGATCAGCAAGGTGGCGACTAGAGGCGTTCTAGGAGTTTGGAGGTAAATGGGAGTAAGGAGATTGGTCTGAGATTATTGAGGTCGATAGGGTCCATTGAAGTAGCAGTGAGGGAACAGGGACCAGGGGGCAAGTGGTGAGGTGGGTGTCAGAGAGAAGCTTTTAAGAGAAGCAATTAAGAAACTTTTTTGGTGGAAACCAATAATTTTTTTCGGATTGTGATAGGAAGTCCATGCTGACAAGGGGAGAGCGTACACACCATCCAAACAGTGTCCTGGGTGGGGATTATGGCCCCATGCTCCTCAGAGCCCCCTTGTAACATCTATTGAAAGGATCACAATTGTCTAGGCACCTTATTAGTGGTGTATGGATTCAACATACACTCTGGCCACTCTGTTATTCATACATTAGACAAAGTGCTGGAAACATTCCATAACGAGTTTGGTCCGTATTGACATGATAGCATCACATAGTTGCTGCAGATTTGTTGGCTGCACATCTATGATGCAGATCTCCCATAGGTGCTCTATTGGATTGAGTCATGGTGACTGTGGAGGCCATTTGAGTACAGTTAACTCATTATCATGCTCAAGGTGCCCTGTGATTGGTTGATTAGATAGTTGCATTAATGAGCAGGTAAACAGGTGTACCTAATAAGGTGGCCAATGAAGTATACAGTATATTTGCAACAGAATTATTTTTTATGATATGCATCCGCTTTGGATGACATCCTGCAATATGATATTGTCACTTGGACAACTGCTTCATTTGCTGGTGGCCATGGGGCATCGGAACCCACAGAGGAGATACGGAATACATTAATTTCCTGATAACCTGCCTAGAAGTGAATACAGCTTCTGTCTAACCTATAATTACTATGTGGTGGTAGGTAATTACTTACAGGATCATATTCGCTAGACAGGTAGGAGTTTTCATTGAGTGAGGGGTTATCAATCATTCCCAGTTCTTCACCATAGTAAGTTGTCGGAGTGCCAGGCAGAGTCAGCATCAGCATGTTAAGCACATTTACATACTCTTTGCCCACCCGAGATGCAACACGAGAATTTCTGGAGCTTCCAACCTGTTGGATATATTCAGAACATAGTGTCAGACCTGATCGAGCCCTGCACATCCCATACCACATATATGAAAACTGAACTGAGACTTACAGCAATGTACAGTTACAATATTTTTTTAAATCTGCCTAGAACTTACATTTCCGTAACTCAACAAAATGCTGTCCTCTATGGGAAATCCACTATAAAGAAAATTTGAACTGAGAAAAACATGGGGGATAACTATCCTGAAAATGGTAGTTGCTTGGCTGTTCTTGGGGTCACTGATATGGGACAAGCAAGCACCAACCAAAATCAGAGTCCGATATTTTGACCTAAGTACTTAACTAGAACAGCATGACCACCTACTCTGCTCTGCTCAATAACTGTCCTTTTACTGCTTCCATTAATTCATCCCACACAATTATTACCTTTTGTACCACTTGCCCCTCCTACTAGATTGTACGTTTTTTGAGCAGGGCCCAGCTAAACCCTCCTGTATTGAAATTGTATTGTAACTGTTCTGTCTCCCTCCATTTTGTAAAGCACTGCAACTGAAAAGAGCAGTCACAGCTTCCATTATCTCAGTATGAGTTTTCATGTTTAAAACAAAAACCTGGGAAGGAATGTGGGGGGTTTCACTTCCTGTCCCCCCTCCTACATTGTATGCCCCTACAAAGACCTGCTCCACGCTGCCCAGCTCTCTGTAGTACCAGGCAGTCTTTACAACTATTTTCCCCCTGGCACATGCTGCAGTGCAGAAGTGTGACAATAGGTTCTATAGAGAGGGAGACCTGAGACAACTCTCCCATCCTTTTATGTAGAGCCTGTTGTTTCCTAGAAGAGAATTAAGAAACCATACCTAGAGAGATCAGACAAAAATTACATGTACATACACATTCTTTATCCCCTCCAGGGATTCACTGGCAGACGTTCCACAGGCAAAGAACGGACCAACGGCTGGTTGGACTTTTCTGCTCACTATTGTTTTCCCCTTAGGATAGTGCCAGGTGTGTCTGCTCCATACAGCCGCACCTCCCTCAGGAGAATGGGGTGGGATTTAATACCACCATAAATTTGCTTTATAAATAGTACTGCAATCTGCACCAACCTCCTGCAATCCACAAGGACATCGACATACAGACTGAGCAGCACTGTAAGCACATTAGGCATTACTAAATTGCAACGTAAATCTAACTAATGGAGCTTACTGGTTGAAGTAAAGAGCACAGAGATAACCTCATTAGCAGGTTACTGCTCCTTCACTATCTTCATAGTCTTGGCATAGCTGTATTGCTTTTATCACTTAGAGATGTTTCATGTTTATTTCAAAATGTTTTAGAATTTTCCACATGCTTGCCCTGCTGCCCTGAGGATCATTAAAGTATAGAGTTATGCTGCAACCATCTTATCTATATTGCGCTTTACTGCTTGCTTAACATTTCTAAAACTGTGCAGATTGCTGTAATAAAAACTTATAGTGGAGATTCCTAACATTTTTATATCCTTGCGATTGCCCTACCATCCAGTGTGGCCACTTTCCTTTCGGCATAGACTTCATCCACAGGTCCACGATTTCATATATTGACATTCCAGTGAGATTATCGCCCAGATTGTACAGGTAGAAGTTAAGAGGAAAGTCGGCTTCCTGGATGAAGGAATTACCATAATACAACATCGTTTTTGTCACCATGGCCTGATCATCGGATTCTGTTCCCATAAACCTGCAGTTGGAATCACAAGAACGAACTATCAGAATAATCGCTCATTAAACAAAATAGAGGCTCTTGTCCTTTGTGTTGGAACCTGCGGGCTGGTAGGTTTCCTTTATTTCTGAAGTGTTTTTAAAAAAATGCACAATTACAAATGTGGTAGTATTTTATCTCTCAAATGTTTGGGGTTTTTGTTTTCAAATAATGAATCCAGATCACACAAAAGTATTTCTTTACATTTTTACCCAAGCACTTAGGGGTCATGTTTCAAAACAGCAACTTCAACTCTCAGTTCGACTTCCCTGAACTTCCTGTCCGGTATAAGATCATAAGGAACAGCACAGTCTACAGCAGCTGTCCATCTACTAGCTTGGAGAAGGGAGGGAGAGCAGGGGAGTGGATTGCCTTGCTGTGTTTGTGGAGACACATACAGCTTACTTGAATCAAGATGTCCCAGCACACCAGCACGAGAATTCCAGATTAGTGCAAATCCATTTATTGATAAATGTCACTCATCAGGCTCAGAGATGACCTCTGTCATCTCTGAGCCTAAAGAAGGGGACCCTGCGCGGCCCCGAGAGCGCTCGTCATTTGAGTGACATTTATCAATTAATGGATTTACACTAATCTGGAATTCTCATGCTGGTGACATCTTGATTCAAGTTCTACTATTTGCGGTGCCATCCGCAGTCATTATGAGCACCCGTCAACCTTGAGATATCTGGTAAGGAGTGCTGCAAGACATATGGACACATACAACCTACTAGCACACACAAGGGTGGCTCCATAGGACCCTGCAAGGGAAATGAGCCACCCTACAACAGGATATCAGGGGACCAGCTGATTCTACAGGAAGCTAAAACTTTTAAAACCTCAAGAAGCAGTAAGTGATTTCATCAGCATTTGAATGAGCTTAAAAATATTTAGACTTTAATATCACTTTAAAGCTCAACTCTGGACTGGTGTAAAATTTAACAAACACGTAAACATCAGCGATTAGCTTGCAACCCCCAGAGCAGAAAAGAGAATTAGCCTCAGGGGACCGGTCCTGCAGGAGCAAAATATAATGGAATAACTGCATCTATTCTAATTCTTCTAGACAAAATCAACATTCAACCAATGCAGAGGGGGAGGTGGGTGGACCATTACATGGTTACATTTTCCAGCAGCCCAGAGGTGGTCTTCCAAAAAAGAAAACGGGGGCTCCGTTGTCTCTTATTCTGGTGATGGGGTTCTAGTTGCAGTGTTGATGGGAAAACTGCATAGGAGGTTTGAGCCTAGAAAGGTCCTCCTTGTTCTTAGTCATTCAAGATCCTCATTTGTTGGCTGGGATAACTAGTACAAGTGACTGGCAGTCATTCTAACCTACCTGTAGCGACCGGGCTCTCGGCTGTACTTATTCATGGCCTGGCGGATGTCACGGAAGATGTCGTGCATCCCCACCTGTGTGGTAGTGTAGTCATGATAGAGCTCTGAGTAAGATGTGACTGTGCTCTGAAAAGACAACATTAGGAAAGTAAATCAGCAAATGTCATAAATGTAAATAATAACAGAGGAGAGTTGAAAACAGCAGCGGCAGCCAGAAACTGAAACCACTATCTAGGAAACAAAGTCAAAAATTCCTTTCACTGTACCTGAGCTCAACCCACCACATGTGTTCTGGTATGTTTATAGAGGATTGCAGATTTATGAATCAAGGCTGCAAACACACAAGATTATGGGATATGAGCACCAAATAGTTGTGTATCTTACTGAACTAAGATTAGTGCTGGCCAGACACTTGGTAATTGTGTCAACAATTTCGATTCACTTTGCAGCCCCACTGTAACCGGCCTGCTCATGGGACAACACATTAACATCTTCACCTCTACCCAATGACAGGAAGATGAGCTGAGAAGATATACAGCTAATTAAGAAAGAGTAGATTCCTCTGTCTATGCAGTGTTGTGGTAAACGTGTGAGTCACAAGACTGGCTAAACAGTACAAATCCTCTGGCAAGTAAAATAGTTTCTAGAAATGGGTTTTAACTGTGTATACAGATGTTTGCCTGGAGTTTAACAATCCATTTGTTTGACACCCTCTTCACTATATAATGAGGAACTTGGCAGAAAACAAGGGAGGCTTTTTACTACATAAATGTTACAATTTGGAAAGTGTTATATACTTAATTCATACCAGCTCACCTATGACCAACAAACCTAGTAACCTGCTGGAAGACTCCACATTGAGATAATGGGAGCCCCCTCTACTGATAGGCATATGATCTGATGATCTGGGGCAAGCTCTGAATTACGGAGGTACTGAGGGCAGAGCGCTGAAGGAGATTGTTGTGCATCGGGCATTTGTTTGGTATTTGAGCGCTAGCTGACTGTTAGTGCACAGTCAGTACTTGGGGTGAGTGTACATCCATTGGGGGTGTCTTGTCACAAGGAGAATATCACATTATCCTGGAGCACAGATTGGTGCTTTGGTTTAGTTACACAGAATTGGATGTGGAAAACCTTTAATTCACTTGGGACAATTTCTATAGATTTATTATTCACTGGTTTCAGATTGGACTGTCCTACTTGACTTTCTAGTATTAATATTTTATATTCATTATCATCACTGTTATTCATTTTCACCGTTGTTTTTATATGTATTTATCACAACCAATTTATGAATTTAAGGATGTCATTTATGTTTGAATAGAGCTTTCTAGCGCTGTGCAGTTTTTTAAAGAAACCTAGTAAACCCTTTATATCCATAAGATAAATGATAGATAGATATATATATATATATATATGTGAGATATGCTATTCTATTGCATTTTTCCCAGGAAACCCTTCAACAGCTGCCCATCTTCCTTGGGGTATTTGAATAGCAGAGCGATCCTTTTTTACATTTCACATGGATAACAGACAAGCACTTACCGGTTGTTGGGTTTTATTAACCTGGGGCTCATCCCGGAGGTGCTCGGCTTCAAGAAGGAACTTGGCAGAATCGATTGTAAACCCATCAACACCTTTCTCCAGCCAGAACTTGATGATATTCTAATGAAAGAGATTTATTCAGTTGCCAAGAGGAATTCATTTTTTGTTTCACATAGTGGCATTTTCCCGTGTCCATGATTTACTTTGTTATGTTGGAAACTCAACTCAGACAGCAGATTTGTAAATGTAAAACCATCCAACACCGTCCTTTTAGCTTCAGGATAGAGCAAGGAAGGATTGGAACTTCCGGTTCTTATTTTTGTATCACCGTTGGTTGTAAGTATATCTAAAGCCCAAACTTTTTGAAACATTTTTGGATAGAGTAGGGAATAGTTAAAACCCCAGCCAGGTTTTTTTTGCCATCTGTGTCACTAGAAAAATTGTCCCCATTGGAAGTTGTTTCCTCTATTCTTGTTCGAGCGACAGCTGACAATTTTGGATTATTTTTACTTTCTGTCCCAATGCTAATGCTACTGAATAAGGGCTCCTGCCTCAATATCACTCTTTGTCCAGCCTTTTGTGGGTTTTGGCCCCCATCTTGTATTATTCAGGGCCGTGGATAGCCCTGTTCTGGCTGTTTGCGTCGGATGTGCATGCATCGGCTCTCTATTGGATCTCCTCCACCTCCTGAGAATTATCTCCACTCTATATCATCTCCAGATAAGGCTATTTACATATATGACCTGGAGAATATTTGGCAATTTATATGTGTACAACCCATCATGTGTTATATCATGTCATGTACAAATGCTACTGATGAAGTTGTGAAATTATCCATTAATTTTTTATGTTCCTTTCTGAATCATCTAAATCATGTCTTTGATAAGTTTTATGCCTTAATCATGGAATCATTGAGTGGGGTTTGGAGGCACTCTTTCTCTATGATATGTGCATCTGTATTTTAATTTTATGGCCTTTTTAGTATGTTTGTACTCAATAAAACAATATTTTTTATATGAAGCAATTTTGTGGTCTATTGGATTTGTCCTTTGGTGCCATGAAAACCCCACTCATTCCTATGTTTTGACTGACTATTTAGGGGTGTGGCACCAGTTACTCGGGATCTGCTCACAAAACCTTTTTCCTTAAAGTCCTTAAAGCAGCATGTGGGGGTGGGGGTGGGGGAAATTGTGACATTAATGTCACTTCAACAAGAAAAAGGGGAGCCCCCTCTACTGATAGGCATATGACGAATGCTTGGCAGGTCTGGCTGTGTTTTGATCCACCCCATTAAGATATTTTTGGACTGTGAGAAAGAAGCTTTTAGGCTGCTGGTATATTTTCAGAAACATCATGCCACCTTAAAGCCTTGGTCCTGCTTTATTTCCTAGTAGCTTATTACCTACCAATGGAGCATTTTTTATTTTCTTACTAAAAATGGAAGACTTCTCAATGCTACAAAATTCCTTTACAAGGTAAAACATCCTAATGCCCCATGTCAGAAGACTTTGTTTCAGGGAGGAACACCGACCCAATCGCAGTCAATCTGTGTCATTCATAAAAGTTAATCATCATAAATCAGGAATGTTCTTTATTGTTTTAAAGGTTCCTTGCAAGAACTTGTTAGCATTAAGCAGAACTAGTGGCATAACTATGTTTATAATTATCACTTAATGAGAAAACCATCAGGTGTAAAGTTCAGCGGTTTTCAGAGTTATTGATGTAACAGTTTAACAGGCTGATTGAAGTGTAAACTTATTAACCTTAATAATATTGCAGTGAATTCTCTGTGTTCTGATGGGATGCAAGCAAGTGTGAAACAAGATGTCAACATCTGACAAAAGACAATATAGACATTATTTAAGATTCTGGTCAAGTGTCATCAAGTTGCAGGAAAGCTAAAATTAAACGTCAAGTGTTGTTCATTGGTGTTCATTAAACTATCACCAGTTATGTCAATTATCTACGGTATATGGCCCAGTGGAGCTTGTTGCATCACATTGACTAATGTCCTTACCAAAGCCAGTGCTCTGCTAAGGATTACCCCCTCTAGAGTAGGTATGGAAAAAGGTTTTCGCCTGCTCTTCCAGCCAGTCACACAGCTAGCTTCTTTCCCTTGACATAATGGGGGAAGGAGTTGGACCTTCTGACTTGTGTGTTGCCAGTTTTTGTTTTATTGTTGTGTGTTGGCATCCCCATTCTAAATAAATGGGCTTGTTTAGCACAACAAATGCTAACATCCATGCTGTAATGCACCACATCAGAACAGGTAGGTGTGAAGGGACCCTTAATTATTACCCCACTGTATAGTTGGAAGTAGTTGGTCATTGCTCATATGTTGGTATATGTTGGGCTATCATCCTTATGACAATGCCATACCAACACCCTCACATCCAGTTATTTTTACAATGCATTTTAGGGGCCTCCCTTTTTGTTCCCGAATCATGTTGGAAAGAGAGCTTCCGATGAAGCCCCATAGGTCAAAAGACATTTGGCAGAGTTATGGCACTGTGATGTAGCATGCTTTCAAGACTGGTAGTATCTGGGTGAACATTTTCAGCTTTTTTGTATCTGTATTTGTTTTATGAATGTTTTAAACAGTTCATTTTGTAAAATGGTCTATACAAGTCTTCCTGAACCAGGGTGCCGTGACACCCTGGGGCGCTTTCTGGCTTCCTTAGGTGTGGCTTGAAATTTCTGTACAACATTGAGCCTTTCCATGGTGTGGGCATGCTTCTAATGTGAAGTGGAAAAACCCATGTGAAAGGGGGACTCTGATGTGAAGAGGGCTCCTGATGTGGGGGGAGGGAGGACGGACTTCTGATGTAATTTGCATACTTTTAAAAAGGGCACTGTGACTAAAAAAAAATTGGGTGAAACGTGCTCTATACAAATGTGTTTTTTTTCTTATAACATCCCTTTGGATGTGTCCACTGGAAACCATGGTAATATAAAACCTATTACCAGGAGCCCCACTAATGTCCTAAATAATGTTTATTTTTTTCTATTCATAAGTTAAACAGGTGTGCATATCTCCAAGTGCGAAGGCTTATGTAGCATATAGAAAGAAACCTGCATGCCATAGCAGGATGTTTGTGGTTATAGTAGGCCAACCTAGCTTTTGTGGCAAGCAGTCCACCCAAAAAAGATGCAGACACAGCTAGGTAACTTGAACTACGTTTTGTGCCTACAGTTCTCCTCTAATGTGGGTGCTCATTGGATCAGCAAACTTTTCAAACTGTTCTTTATTGAACAATATAGTGACAACACTACACACAAAAAAGTCACATAGACTTACTAGAATTTCATTGTGGACATCCGGATTGTGTAGATTTAGATCAGGCTGCTCTTTGCGAAATTGATGAAAGTAGCATTGTTTCCTTTCATTGTCGTACTCCCAGGCTGAGTCTCCATACATGCTGACCTAAATGGAACAACGAATGCCAGGATCACATTATAACTAGCAAAAAAACAGACACATATATAGTTCTTCTTAAAGTATAAGTGAACTTTTAAAACACATTAGCTCTTTTAAAATACAGTGGAATATCTAGAAACTACAGATATGACCTGTACTGATACTGCAGACAAGGAGTGAAAAAAGAAAGGCATCTGTTACACATACAGTACCTGTTTAGCTCAATGTGTTTAGTGGCAGGAGTCAAAAATATATTTCTACCATGCAGTGCACTTATGTAAAGCCTGGAGATCGCAAACTGTTAGAAGCAGAGATCGCAAACTGTTAGAAGCAGATAGCTTCTCTTTGTATAGACAGCACATATCTTCAGACAGGACTGATAGCAAAGCTAGTACCAGAGAAGGGTTAGGGTAGGGTTAGAACCTTTGTCAGGTTTTTAACCCAGCCTGTATCCCAGCTGGGGGATATATATGTTTAATATGTTTTGCTTGTTAAACATATTTAAACTGTACTTTTAGGTGGAAGGCATTTTTGTCAGATTCTTTCATCTCACATAGACCTTGGTTAGCCAATTTACCAACATGGCCCATAGATAATGGTTCCAACATTTGGGGTTCTTTTATGGGGCACAATGTATCCAGGTACATTTGTTAGAAAATAAGGGGGGTTTTAGTTTGGTTATAAAATTACATTGTTCGTTTTTGTGAAAAAGCGATATATTGGTTCAAACGGGATCTATTATTGCAGCAAGTTTGCTGTATTGAGATTGTATAATGTGTATGCCTTAAGGTGCCCATACACTTTACCAGTGGCGTAACCAGAGTTCTGGGCGCCCGGGGCAGAATTTTTTTTCGCCCCCCCCCATTATATAAACAACCACTGGAACTGTACCCTGCACCTCCCCCCCACACACACGTTTTTATTTTAATTTTTCAAATTTTAATATTTAATTTTTTTGAAACTTTTTCATTATCACCTTTAAGATCTGTGGGAGATCTAAACAGTAATTGTTTTGGATGTAATTTAAAAATCACATTCACTGCTTCATAAATAAACCCCTAAGGGTTGAAATTGTGGGTTAGTATAAGGTTAAGGGCTAAGATTAGGAGTTGGAATTACAGTTAGGTTTAAGTGACCTGCACTTTGCCAATGCAGGGGAAAAAATAGTTTCACTCTAATACAGACATTACCAGCAGCATACTTACCAAAATTTTGCTCCCCTACTTTCCGGTGCCAGGAGACAGGAAAAGTCCTGTGTAAGCATTGAGTGACTGGAGTCACAACTTACAAACAGCTAGGGACTCCATTGTGACAGCTATGATTGGCCCAGCCTTGTCACATGGTGACGTCCAATAGATATTCCACTGCACTCCTTACCGATATACCCCTAGTAGATGGGTGCCGAAGTGAATGTAGATGGTGCCGCTATGTCCAAGTAGATACAGAATGTCACCAGGACACCAAAGTCAAGTGTCCAAAATTGTCTTGTATTGTTGTGTGTACATCTTGCCACAGAAAGGCAACGTCACTTAGGGTCTACTACGGGATACTATGTCTGATGAAGGGACCCTAAGTGCTGGTGTGCTGGCGACATGTTGTTTCTACCTGTCACATAGCGAGTCACATTCTCCCCCACACCTGGGAATACTTTGTATTTTCTTTGGCTCCCATCCCTACATGGAGTGGCAGGGCAAAGGAAATGTAAGTATGTCATGCTGGATGGAGGGGGGTACTAAAACAAACCTATTGCTTTTCCCTGAATGTGCACAGCCATTTCTTTGTTATGGGGGGGTATAATAATGTATTTTCTGTTTAATAAGTAAACGCCAAAAAAAGCAACATGGAAACTCAAAATACCGTGGTGGAAATTCTGCCTTTTGGAGCCTCTGGAGATAAGAAACATGCAGAGAAGTAAACCCAAAACTGAAACATCAGCCTTGAGTGGAGGAAGTCCACCAAAAGGTAGTTATACTGTTAAATGTTCAGACATCACACAGGCTTACCCAGTTATTGGGAGGTACGACCCGGTCACCTACCACCTCGCAGTCCTTCCAGATGTAATAGTCTGCATATATGTTTGTTCGATTCCTGCTCTGCAGAAACCAGGCATGTTTATTGCTGGTGTGATTTGGAATGAGGTCAGTTATCATCTTTATACCTGAATGAAAACAGGAAAGATGGTTTGGGATGATTTATACATCTTGGCTCAGCCATTTTGAAGAAATAGGTATCTGCGGATAAGCCCATCAACATGAAAATTGGACATACATGTTAAAATTTGATTCTATATTCTGTACAATGTCCTTTATAATTACCAAAACAATGTAATATTAGAGCCTAGCTAAATAATCAAAGTTGGACTCCAGACACAAATAAGCTTACATTTATGTATATTCCATAAATATTGTATACAGATGTTCCTCGCTTACCGACTTACCTGTTTTGCGACCACTCGCACTTACGACGGACTGCCGATCAACCTCTGACCTTGCGTGTCAGCTTCAGTGCGCCGCTTCGCCGGCGGAAGTGGTGTCCTCCGATCTTCACTGCAGGTCCCGGTAAGTATTTTCATTGCCCGATGCACAGTACACTGTTCGGTACTGTACATCGGCAACGCTATACAGTACTGTACTAATGCAGTACAGTACTGTATAGAGTTCCTCACTTAACGACCAATCCGTTTAACGACCTGGTCGTAGGAACGGAACTCGGTCGTTAAGTGAGGAATACCTGTATTAGGATATTCCAGCTCACCTTTATCGTGCAGGGCAGAAAGCAGGTTCTCAAAATCGGCCATAGTTCCGAAACTGTGGTCAACCTGGTGGAAGTCATCCACTGCATAGCGATAGTCTTTCAGCGTTGACTTGTAGAAGGGGGCAACCCAGACGGCCTTCACCCCAAGGTACACAAAGTGGTCAATCTTCTCCTGCACACCTGGAAGATAAAAGCAGAAAGAGAGAGGGCTGAGAAACAAAACAGAATCCCTCAGTGCTACAAAGAAAAAAAAACTTAAGTTTAAGTAGCAGTGAAGCCAAAACTTATTTTTTAGTTTTAGGGCAAGGGAGGGCCCTTTGTGTCCCATTGGGGAGAATTCCCTTGACTTTCTGTCCGATAGCCACAACAGGAAGTTAAAGGAAATTCCTCCAAAGTAAGGAAAATCCCTGGTGATTAGCAGGGTCACCAGAACTACCATCTCATTGGAAGATTTCCCGACAATTCCTGTTCTGGTGACAAGCCAAAATTGGGGATTTTCTTTCACTTTCAGTGATAATTCCCTGAGGGGTACATCCCTAGCAGACACACAGACATCAATAAAAACCTAACAGGTGTTAACAGGTCACACGTTTTGGTTTCAGTTGCACTGAGAGTAGGGGAATGCTAGAGCTTTTTATTGGCTTTTTATTGTTGTGTTTACTCTTTTTTAGATTTTCCCTCACTTCCTGTCTGTTAAAATATTATCCCCAGAACAGGAAGTGAGGGGAAACCTCTGTAACAGAGGTTTGGATCGCAATAAAACATGTCAGCTTCACTGAGCTCCGACTTGCCTGTAGACATTACCCAGCTTCACGGCCACTTACCAGCATTACTTCAAGTAAATGGGGAAGAAGAAACAGCAGCCATTCTTCACCCCGGCTTCTCTAACCTCAACAGACTGAATAGGTCAGTTTTTCACAATTCTCAACTGCGGCATCAGTCACCCGAAAGCTCTAGAACTGTGCCACTTGCTTCTCAGGGTCTCCTTGGGACCCATCCTCACCAGTACTCGAGGACTCTCCTCCTCCACCAGTCCTCAATGTTTCCTTTGTAAACGGCACTGCAGAAATAATGTGCAGATGTCCACCGTACCCATTTATGGCTGTGATCTGAGCTGTCACCGGATGGCTGGTCGGAATGGTCCTGTACCTACAGTATGTACATCTCAGAGCCCTCTCCTTCCTCTGTTTGGTCAGATGAAGTATTTATCAAAGAAGATTTATACATGAACAGATCACAAGATTCATGGTGATAGGTTGTAATTGATTATTGATTGCGGTGTCATTTTTAACCCTTTCAAACCCCTCCTTTCCTTTACATCTCATCTCCTTGCTGTCTATGCGATCTGAATATGAACTTCTTCACCGTCCTTGACCTGTATATTAATCCCCTCATCTTCATCCTCCAACTACACGGGGCCTATACATTAACCCAGTTACCTTCTCCTCTGTCCCTGTATGACCTATACATTTGGTCTGCTAAATATACCATTGAAAGTGTTTTGTTATATCTGTTCAATAAGTGACAATACCTGTCAGAAATTCAGAGCTGTCATGTGTCCTGTGGATACAGCCTGTGTTATCTCAATAAATACTGCCTGTTCTTATCATGGTCTACCAAGCAATTAGTCACTATGTTGTGGAGATGAGGCAAGTGGGAGGGATTTAGTAGTTTTAACAAAAAGCAACAGAGCAGGGCTGCCCCCCCCCCAATTCAGTTTTCGTTCTGTACCTGTAGTGCCTTTAGGGGTTAAAACATGGGAACAGGTGTATGTATGGATAAGTATTTTCTTGTTTTCCTTTTTGCCTTGACAGGACAATTGAATGGGCTCGGTGACTGAGCACAATGCAGGCACTCAACATGCTGAAAAGTGGCGATACCTCTGAGGGGGTTCAATTCCCAGTCTACTCAATTGTTTCCATAAAATCAGATCCCTGTATGCATGTCCAGCATCCAGCTAAAACATTAGTCTGTAGCAGTTGTATAGAAGCAAATAGAATGGTTCACATCATTCTGTTCAGTGGCCGCTTGGGGTTAGTAATACATTCTCTCATACACTGCCACTATTGGCTCCTGAGTCAGAAAGGGAAGTAGTTGTGACTGAAGCGTTATGGCAGCTGTACAATTTGCATTACTGTCTGGTTATTCTGGGGTCCTGAGCTCAATGCCCACCAAGATTTCTTAAAGCTGGAGATTTCTTCTATGGCTGTTTTGCACATCTGGACTTTTGGAGCCAATACAGCCGGAGGGAATTCAGTAATTACTCAATTATCCATAGGAGCTGGCATTAGATACAGATGGAGATGCCAGCAACTCAGATTCCTATTCTATTTCCTTGTTAAAGTCACACTGCCAAATGTGGAACAGAAGCTGACAAGACAAGCCAGGTAAAAGGCGGTATGAATGTTGTACCTACTACAGACATTCTTCACACCTATGTACAGATAATATCCCGTATCAGTACAGAAATGATCTGGGGCTGCAATTGCTAAAAAGCCAATTGTAACCCTTTCCTCTACGTTCTCATTCATTTTTGACCAGGGTAGGGGATCCCAAAATGTGGGACGTGTGTCACTGGTGGGACAAACCCTCACTGCAGGTGACACATAGCAGCAGGTAGGGGCTTGAGAAGACTGTAATGACTCATACACGGGTTTAAAGGAGACTCATGTAGACAACAACATTATGGTTACTGCTATTTATAAGTAAATCATTTATCTGGCACAGTACACAGGGGTAAAGGAGGTGTCAACTGTTACATGAGGCAGGCAGGCATGTTATGGTACACAATTGTGCTCAATTGACCAAAGTATAGAAAAACATGGGCTTAGGTCTTGATCTCTGACTGCTTAAAGTATATGTAAAGAGAAAACTTCAATTGAGAAGATTTTCCTTCACTTCCTGTCCTGAAGACACAACAAAGCAAATCTCTTCAATGTGGGGAAATTCCTTCTTAGGCTGGCTATACAGCAATAGAATGTAATTAAAAATAAATTTTCAGGATGTTCATTTGATTTTTTAATAGTTAATGGGGTCAAATGGATGGTTGTTTTTGACCTCAGTGATGAAAGAAAGTGAAGGAGTAGGATGGAATTTTTTTTTCTCAAACACATGAAATTCTAACAGTGAATGTGTTTTCTGTTTGTGAAACTCCATTTATCCCAAAACCGATCGTTAAAATTAAACAAAGTTTTGAACAATATTCTACATGCGTCTGATGGCATTATCCAATGTTACGATTAACTTTTTCGTGTGACAGTTCATTTGGAAACCTACCAGTGTATGACCAGCTTTAGACGTGTCTCCATTGACTTCCACTTACTGTTACTACAGCTCTTACTGACAACTCAGAATTTGGCATTTTCCCTCACTTTCACTCCTGATGGCAATGATCTCCAGGACATATAGAGAGGAGGAATGTACCCATCAGGGACAGCAATAAAAACTTGATAGAAACCTGATTAAAAGACCCCCAGGGGATACACAAAGTGTGAATTAGACCAGCCGGGCTCAAACCAAAAAAGCAATGCCAAGTGAAACCTGGAGGAGAGCACAATTTAAACTCATACACTGTGTCTCCCAGGCCTTCAATGTCAGAAAATTCCCACTGACTTTAATAGAGTAGTGTACATGACAGTTCAGAGGCTGCAATTGACCTCCTTTGCGTTTTTTGGATGCACCGCAGCCTTCTGGGGTGTATATGAACTGCAGGCAAAGTAGGTCAAACGCAGCCATATGTTGCGTTTTCCACTGGAACACACACATAGACAATATCAACATTTTAAGATACCAGATTAAAATATCAAACCAAACATGAAATCTTAAAATTACCTTTAAGATCCCCAGAACCATCGCCATCGCTGTCTCGGAAAGACTTTGGGTAGACCTGGTAGATTGGGCTGCTTTGCCACCAGTCCAGACACTTAGGCGACAGAGCTATAATTGCTATTGTGGCGGCAATGATGGCCAAGGTAGCGACAATGATGAGCCAGAATAGGATCTCCCGAGTGACCTTGTAGCACATCTGAGTGGAGAACTGTAGCAGGACTTCTTTTGGCATGCCAGCATAAGGCTTCAATGGAATATTTTGGTCATACTCATTTATTTTGACCGCATAAGTGGACTCTTCGATCTGGCTGTTTTTCCTGCTCGGCGTCTCCTCCTGCCCATCATGATCTGCAACAAAACCGTTATTTTCATGACCCGTTTTCTCCTTTAACTCCACCGAGTTAACTTCTTCATCCATGTTCAAAGGCTAGTCTGTGCCTGCTTTCCCAGATCTACAAGTTCAGCTCAGTGGCGGCTGTCAAAGTTAACCCGAGGCTGGCCAACAAAGCACCACAAATCCTCTTTAAATACTGCTAGCCAGGTCAAGGTACACAGAGAGAAAACAGTACAAAGTCCCAGTGATTACTGACACCCCTCCATTGCACAGTCAACTAGATTATTGAATGGCTGCAATTTGCCTGCACTGTGTCACAGATAAGGATAATAGAGCTCAGAATTTACAGTAAAGTACAAGTCATTCTTGGCAATCTGATCTCTTTGGGACAGAACAATGGCTGTTTCAGGCACAGAAATTCCTGGCTCGGGTCAAACAATGAATCTATTATGAAAACTGGATGGGATTTCAAATATTTTGATTGCGATACTTGGTTACTATAAACAAGTTGTTTTTCATGGATGGGACTTTGTGCTCGAGAAGGGATTGAGAATGCATTTATAATGCTGAAGTGGGATTAAACTATAAGCAAGCACATTTATATATCATTAAAGTTAATATGACCTATGGACTGAGCAGTGAAATCAGTGTTTTGCATTTCCCCAACAGCCAGACAGCCCTTATTGTACCTAAAGGTGCCCATACACCTTACAATTATCTGCATATTTTCTGTGGTCAGATGGAAAAAGTGCAACAGATTGGCCCAGGTGGAGATTACTCCATCCTCTAATATCTCTACCAAAGACTTGTTGTCCGGTAAAACGTTTAAGGGTTTAGACAGGTTCTCCTCTATCACCAGCTTTCTCAATTCAGAATGACTTGTACAAAAAATTATCTGGGAATAAATATGGTGAATGTTGTTCCAATCCACATAATCTGTTAGTCACTACCAGGTGTTGATTGTATTTGCATAATTGAAGTCTAGGTGTTATTAACCTGCCCAGAGAGAGGTGTTAATACTAAGTTGCAATATTTAGGGGTCTATTCACAAAGCTGCTGAAGGATCTAGCCGTAGCTTCAGCTGATCCTTCGGCTAGCTCCGTCCCGAGGACCCCTTCGGTTCAGTAGAACCGAAGGGCTGCTGTATGTGCTATTCACTATAGCCCAACAGCTCCCGAAGTCAGCCGAGCGGCTCAGTCGAGCCGAAGGCATATGCTTCGGTTCAACTGTGCCGAGGTGAAAGCCAAAGCTTGCCATTGGCCAGCCGACAGCCTGCTACTGACTGCTGAGCGGAGCCCACGGCTGGCTCCGGCCACTTGCACAGACTGATCAGCGTACCTTGTTACCAGGTAACCAGTGATACTGATCTCCAGACAGCCCACCTTTCCTGGGCGCTCCAGGAGTCTCACGCTATTAGATAGCGGCTCCCGGTCGCCCGGGAGAGAAACACTTTCGATGAAGTTCTCCATCAGGTCCCCTCGAGTGATTGACAACAGCAGAGAGCGGGTGCAATAGCTAGTTTGCTATTGCAAAGTGAAATAGCCAATAGAAATCTAGCTATGCATTCCTATGCTGAATTTTTTTTTTTATTATTCTGACGGCAGCAGTACCACCCAGGCAATAGAAAACAGTTGGGCGGAGCTAGCTGCCAGTGCTAGCTCCGCCCAATCGTTTTCTATTTTATTTTTTACTACTTTAACTGTTTTTCTATTCTGCTCGGTACCACAGAGGATAACTATGAGAATAGGCCGAACAGCAACGAGTAGCCTGCCGGAGGTTCGGCTTAGCCGATCCAGATGTTGAGTCGAACTCCTTCTGCGCTTCGGGTCGGCCGAACATGCTGAGCATGTTCGGCCGACCAATAGACCGCTAAGTTGTATGGAAAATGTAGCTTTGCAGTTTCCTGCACACTCTCTCTATCCCTGGTTTGCTGTCAGGAAAGGCTGTCCACCTCAGTATACAATGAATATAACACAGATTCTGGCACACAGCTTCATGTTCCGATCGTTTATTAAATATCACATGAACAGTTCACATCAAGAACCCGATAACGCATTTCAGCCACACATGGCCATAGTCATAGTGTGTGTAGGCTGTGTGCCTAGAGTTCTGCTTCTAGATATACATTATCGGTAAGCTGTCATATTAACAACTAGATGCCAGCATACCAACTTTCATTTGCCTTTTTATTTTGGGATCACTTGTACTTTTTACCTATTTTGTAAGCTAATTAGCATCTGGCACTGATTGATAGACTTTGTGTATGACAATGTCTCCTATACTATGCAAATGCTGTGACTATTTCCTGGTGGAAATTTTCAGAATGGACTCTTATCTAAATACTAGGGATGCACCGATACCGGTTTTTCGGTATCGAGTGCGAGTACCGATATTTTTTTTCGGTACTCGCCAATACTGATACTGGAAGTTCCATTAAGGAAGCCAGGCATCGTGTAATGACTTGACGCCCGGGCTTCCTAATTAGATGGGAAGCTGGGTGGCGTGTAATGACTCACCGCCTGGCTTCCTGATTAGCTGGGAAGTCGGCTCCATGCTCCCTCGTCATCAGGTGACGAGGAAACATGGAGCCGGCTTTCTGGTCAATCAGGAAGCCAAGGGCGGTTAATGACTCGCCGCCCAGCTTCCTGATTGGCTGGGAAGCCAGCTCCATGCTCCCTCGTCAGCAGGTGATGAGGCGAGGGAGCATGGAACCGGCTTCCCAGCCAATCAGGAAGCTGGGGGGCGAGTAATGACTCGCTGCCCGGCTTCCTGATTGGCCAGCTTCCCGACCAATCAGGGAGCCGAGCGGCGAGTCGTTACATGCCGTCCGGCTTCCTGATTGGCCATGGAGCCGGCTTCCCAGCCAATCAGGGAGTCGGGGGCAAGTCATTATCCGCCCCCCGGCTTCCTGATGGGGGCACATGGAACCGGCGTCCTGACCAATCAGGAAGCCGGGGGGCGGGTAATGACTCACAGCCTGGCTTCCTGATTGCCCAACATCCCAGCCAATCAGGAAGCTGGGGGGTGGTAATGACCGCCCAGCTTCCTGATACCGGAATTTCCAGTATCCAGACAAGTATCGGGAGCATTTGAGCGAGTACGAGTACTCACCCAAATTCTCGGTTTCGGCACCAATACTAGTATCAATGCATCCCTACTAAATACAATTCCTAATCTTATTAACTCTACCTTTGTGTTATTATGGTTTTTTTTGCCTCCTTACCTAAACAACTGAAATTCAGTCACTATACTATGTCTTATGTCTCCGAGTAGGAAAACGATTTCAATAGTAGTAAATCTGTAAATGTTTGGCAACAAATATGGTCCGTGGATGCTTCCTGCTCCATTAATATAACCTCTACTGAGGTTTAGAAGGTTCTTAACTGATGGCTCATGGTCCCATCCAGGCAGGCCCATTTGCAACCACTGCCCCCAGGAACATGCTTTTGTGGCTGTGATGTAACTGGGGAGGTATTACATCTTTGGGGTCCTGCTCTATGTCAAGCAGATTTTGGACTAAAGTTTTTAAACTTCTGTGGACCTTGTTTCATTGCTCCTTTCCAAGAGACCCCTGGCTTGCTCTCCTTCACCTTAAACCCCCTTCCCTCACCCAATTCAAACTTACCACATACTGTGCATTTTGATAGCAGTCAAACAAACCAAAGCCCAAGTCTGGAAGAAGCCGTTTTCATTTTGCGGAGGGTCAGCAATGTATTGACATGTTGATTCCTTACCAGTATTCACTTGGATACACACAAGACATTTCTATTAGTCTGGTACCCTTGGATCCAATATGCTCATGCCTCACTCCAGCCAGACCAAACCATGTTTTTCTTTCCTTTGATATTTATTTACTTACTCATTTTCCTTTGTAAGCGGACCTTTGAGAGCACTGCCCCCCTTTTCTTTCTTCTTTATTGTTTTTCCTTTTTATATGCTTATAACCCCTTTTTATTCTTATTTTATCCTCATACTTTGTCCATGATACCCTAAAGTTATCTTGGTTTTCAGATTTTTATTCAGAGTGTATTTTGGGGCGTGGGGTAATGGCCCTGCTTATATCAGTGTACTTTTCACCAAGACTGGGCAGACACTCTTTGATACTGTTTGTATTTAACTGGTTTACTCTTTGTATAGGACCCGGGTCCTGCTATTTTCCTATGTACAAATAAGCCTGAAAATGTGACTGTATCTTTGTTGAACCTGCCTTGAAATGTTTAATAAAATCTATTGAAAGTGAAAAAAAAATCCCACTTTTACTACCCACTCCACAGAGTACTTTCAGCCAAACAAATCCACACACCGGAGCACCCTGTTTACCGCTGCCAACCACTGAAAAGAATATTTCCGACAGCGGTCATTAATGCTGCTCTACAAGCTCTGTCCATGGATGACCTGCCTGGGGAAACACTACTGACAGGTCCAATGTGTGGGTTCTAGTTTGCGGATTTAGCAATAAAAAAAAACCTCCATACTATGACTCATAGGATACAATTATATAGTCATGTTCTTTAAACTATTTGTAAAACCAATCATTGAAATCTCATATAAGCTTTAATGAGTAAATACAATTTCCAGTTTTGAAATCTGCAGCTCTCATAATAATTGGTAATTATGCCATGAAGATCCTTGTTCAGGCACTACCTCTTTCTGGGGGACAACACCCTGTCCTTATTTCACAGTTTTGCTCCTGCGTAGTCACTCGAGTACACGGACTTCTGTTGGGAACAAAGGTCATTTTAGCACACATTTCACAGACATAGTTTATTGTTCACTATCAGGAAATCTGCTCCGAGAAATGTCATGCAGCCATCGATGGACAGTTTGTATATGCAAATAGGATGTATGAGATCAGCAGCACTGAGAAGCAACAAAGAAGGAAAAAACGGTAAAAGGAGAGAGAT